GTGCTGCTGTTGTTGATTTAGTTTTGGGGCAGTAGCTCAACAGGTTGAGCGGGTTGTCCGGTAATCGGAAGGTTGCAGGTTCGATCCCGGCTCCGGACAGAGAATTCTGCTGTTGTGTCCTTGGGCAAGACACTTAACCTACCCCGCCTGCTGGTGGTGATCGGAGGGACTGGTGGCACCTGTGCTCGGCAGCCTCGCCTTTGTCAGTGTGCCCCAGGGCAGCTGTGGCTACATCGTAGCTCATCACCATCAGTGTGTGAATGGATGAATGATACACTGTAGTGTAAAGCGCTTTGAAGTCCGTACTCTGAGAGACGCTATACAAGTGCGGGTCATTTATCATTTTATTTGTACTCAAATTCACCCTCAGGTGCTAATTTTGATTTTTGACAAAACCCTGACTTGATCTCTTTAAATCAGCAACCTTTAGCTTTAGGCATATCCTCTATATCCATCTAATCCAGATTGGAACTACTGAGCATGTGGCATTTAGTTCCAATTTCAAAATTTCTAAATACAACCAGTGACTCGACCTGTAAAGACAATAAAATACAATTACAGATTAATCTAAAACATCATTTTAGAAAACATTGCAAAGGTTTTAAATACAGTTTTCTTCCCTTTTCCGTAGTAAATCCAAAGATTTGTGATTGAAAGGTTCCCAGGTTTTGTGATTTTATAATTTATAGGTGCACATTTGAAATGATCAAGTCTTTGGTGTTCGCAGTGACATGAATCACTTTTGAGGACAGCCTTGTTTTCTGGTGGACAGGCCACAAGAAACTCGGCTTTGCCTGAACCTTTTTGATCATGGTGCTTCTTCCCCTTTGGACTTCACGCTCTTCTCTTCCACATCTTCAATTTTCTCCCCGTCGTCTACATTTTCTTCCCTAAATCAGACATTTCGGGTTAGAAAATGCCTATATTGTAATTACGTCGAACTTTTACTTGGCAGCAGTGCTTTTTTTTTTTTTTTTTTTGCTTTTTTTACTCAAGACTGCAGAAAGAGCTCAGAAAATTATGTAATGCAACATGACCAAACCACATGAAGTCCTTGGCTCTCAAGCAGCCGTGCTATAACACAGAGAATCTGCTTACCTGCTTTGTGTTTCTGTGTCACCGTCATCATCAGATCTGAATAATTCTCCATTTTCTTGGACAAACTGCTCCTCTAACCCAGCTTTCTGCAGCTTGCTCCTGTATATCTGCTCGGCACGGGCCTTTGCGTTTCTCTGCCAGTAAAAACTCTGTTACACTCTTGCAGGCGGACGTCAAATACATCAAGCAGGGAAGTTTGAGCTTTTTATTCCTTACCTGTTTCAGTTGAGCAAACAAAAAAGGGCGTTTACTAACTCGAGCCTTTATGTCCTTTAATTCTCTCGTGTATTCTCTCGTTGTCTGTTGATCAGCCTCCCTAAAAACGGCACATTTACAGTCTCAACAGCTAAAACAGGAACGTTATTAGGTCCTAACAAGCGAGACACAAATACTGCGAGACAACTGAGTGATCAGCACAAACCAAAGGCGCTTCAGATTCTCACTGAGCACGTCGTTTAAGCTGCTGTGAGGATCCAGGACCTTGGCATGAAGAGTTACGGCCTTCCTGATGGACTGGGATCTTGTCTGGTAGTTCTTCAACCAGTCTGCACTTTCTTGATTCTTACTTTCCCTCAAATCCATGGATTTTCTGTTAAGATACAACACATTGAATTTCAGATTATCCCTTAATTTGTGCAGAAAGGAGATGCTTAAACAATCAGAACTCACCTAATGGCTGCACAGCGCTGCCTCACGGCGTCTGTGATGAAGGTGGGGAGCGTGTCAGCGGACAGAGCCGTCAAAGCTCCAAGTGACTTACTTCTACTAAAGCTTCTGAATTTAGATTCCTTTAATAAAACGAGGAAATATAAAATATTTTTTATCAAATATATCGCTTGAGCACAAATTAAACAACCACTCGCACAAATGTAATAAAACAGTTATAATGAAATGAAAGGAAAAGGGAACTACAGTGAAGTAAATCTAAAACTGGTAATAAAACGCCTGGAAAAGAAAATCTGAAATTATTAATCTAATAGAAATATAACTTTGTGTTTAAAGCATATAGTTTCATCTTTGGTTTTATGACTTTTAAGCGTATATCTGTGTTTTTAGTTTTTTATGATTTTTTTATTGTATTTAATGTTCTACGAAAATGTGGATGATGATGAGCCCTGTTGAAAGACACATTTCTGTAACCGCTTGGTGTCAGATAATAAAGTTGTTCTATTCTATTCTATTATCCATCCATCCATTTTCTGAACCCGCTTGTCCACGCAGGGTCGCAGGGGGGCTGGTGCCTATCTCCAGCGGTAAATGGGCAATCAGGCGGGGTACACCCTGGGCAGAGAGCCAGTCCATCACAGGGCAACACAGAGACACACAGGACAAACAATCATGCACACACACACACTCACACCTAAGGACAATTTGGACAGACAAATCAACCTAACAGTCATGTTTTTGGACGGTGGGAGGAAGCCGGAGTACCCGGAGAGAACCCACACATGCACAGGGAGAACATGCAAACTCCATGTAGAAAGATCCCAAGCCGGGAAGCGAACCCAGAACCTTCTTGCTGCAAGGCAACAGCTCTAATGTCTACGCCACTGCGCAGCCTATATTATATTATATTATATTATATTATATTATATTATATTATATTATATTATATTATATTATATTATATTCTGCTCTATTTATACCCTATAAGGCTTTTTAGCCAAATGAGATGTTTTCCTTTTAAATGCAGCTTTTAGAGGAATTTGCCCAAAAATGTCAGACAGTTTTTATGAAGAAAAACTCAGATGATTGGATAATTTTGGGCTGAGTCCCAAAAATACATGAGAGCCCGACAGGAAAAATGTTTCCGCTGCACACAAAGTTCTTCCTGGTGTAAATTACTGTTATTTCTACCCAATTACTGCTATGGTTATATTTACTCTTTAATACTCTCATGTGAAACATCCAGTCAGGCAAAAGAAATGCTAGTAATTTAAAAAATAACATTTTGCTGCTTGAGCTGAGCAATGAAAACTACACGGCTGTATACAGTGTTATTATATGAAACGTCATAAATTATAACGCAGAGAATGTCTGACATGGGGCCGTTAAAGGGGAAGGACTATCCCGCCTTTGAAGGTTGGGTGTCACATTTCGGGAAAAACACATAAAAGCTGAGAAGCTATAGGAATATGTTATATTAAAGCACTGGTTAGGACTAATGGAAAGAACATCTGCTCATAAAATGTATGGTTACAAAATTCAACTTTTAAAACATCCATCCGTCGGTTTTAGGCAGTGGTGGGAGAAGAACTTTATACGAAGTAAAAGTACAGAGAAAGGAGTGAAAAAATGTACTAAAAGTGGAAGTATCCTACATTTTTTGTATGAAAGTACGCATTTTCAAATGTAGTTCGAAGTAAAAAGTAAAAGTATTCAACCAGCATTTAAAGTCAACCCCCCAAGTCGCCTTATTTGCTGATAAACTTTATAAACGAGTGTCAAAAAGTGCTGTAGTCATTATTTAGACATTTTAGTGCATCTTATTTAAAATATAAATATTCTGCCAAAAACCATCAGTGTAGTGCCCTCCTTGGGTTAAAAGTCTGCACTACATGTAAAAGCAGCTGAGTCTCGGCCACTAACGAGCCGGTACGGCTCAGAGCTGCTTGTCTCCTTCAAATAATCTGCCTCCCTCTCCTCTCTTCTGGTGAAGGAGGTGGAGAGAAATCCTCCAGAATTGGAAGCGTGTTTCTGTTTCTCCGTTCGAGCGGAGTGTGTGTTTGTTAGCAACTCGTTTCTCCGACGGAGAATCTCCAAGTTGGGGTGAGAGGTGAGTGTTGTCAGTCACTGCCACAGCACCACCCTCTCGGTATGCCTTTTGGTGCATTTTTCAGACAGAAACGACAAGAGCGGAGCAAGACTTTGGTAGGGGGGTGACTTGCTCTTTAAAAATGCACTGTGTGTAGAAGTGTGCAAATTAACTTTGCATACATTTTATAGAAAACAAATACTTCTGCTTATACATCTACTCACTTCAATGTATTTAGATATTTGGGAAATAATTAGAGAAATTGTTTAGTTTGGATTATGAGAAACAAGTAAAATTATAATGACCAACTAAATAAAAGCAACTATTCTGATTCAACAATGATTTACCTGTGAGGTTTCTGGGCCCTTAATCATTTTCCTTGCAGGTCGATGTGAGGTACTTAAGAAGAAGGGCTGACACTTGGTTGGATCTTTGCTCTGCATCTCCATCCTTTTAGTCTGCAGGGCCTTGTGCAGCCGACTGAAGTTTGGTACCGCACGGATGACTGTCGGCTGGAAGCTCAGCTCTTCATCCAGGAATCCTAACTTTTGTTTCCTGGTGAGATCAGCAGAGTGGATCTTTGGACTCTGGGTCTGCGGTGGGCTTTCCTTCTGTGTCGTCTTTCGAGTGCAAACTTTTCCACAAACTTGTGCAAAAAATACAAGCAAACACACTGGAGTTATGTCACACATGCCGTTATGCTGTTGTTTGTTCAAATAATCTATCCTTTTACTTAAATCCTGATGAAAAATTGTTTAATCTCTTAAAGCGTATCTATTTTAGTTTCTTTAGTGGCGCGACTCAGGGTTGCGAATGACCACAGTCACCAATTCTTCTGAATTGTGTGTACTGAAACTCTAATTTCCCTCTGGGATTAATAAAGGATTGTTTGATTGATTGATTGATTGATTGATTGATTGGTTGATTGATTGATTGACTAAAACATCAAACATTCTTTTTCATAAAGCTAAGCCTTAGATCTGAAAGGGTTAAATGTGTTAGTGAAATCTTACAAAAAGGAGCATCAGTCATGACCACACTACACAAAACGTAGCTGTAAATTTAACTAGGCTATAAAACAAAAATACTACATGATGACTGGGTAGGATTTAAACAGCAGAAGATAACACTGTGAGTGCTTTTTTATTTATTTTATATGAACAGCTGCATCTGCTAATAAAAAAAGAAATATGGCTCATGCAGAAATGTTTTCTACGTTTTTATACCCTATGAAGACGTGATCGTTTGTCGACCGGGGGACTGGAAGTGAAAAGGGACGTTCTTCTGTGACATATGTCTAATCATCTACCAACAAGCAGAAGTTTCCTAAACAGACAATAATTAAGCTGTTATTTATGATTTAATTAAAAAAAATGTTTACATTTTTATATTGCCTGAGAATGTTTTGTTGGAGAATTTACTGCAAGTTTTATTTTAATTGTGATGAAATCATTCTATCAGAGAGAGAACCCACCTTTCAGTTGCTGTGGATCCTTGCTTTCTTTTTGTGGGGTGGTTTTAACACAAACATTGTCTTTTGGATTTTGACAGACTTGGTTTAATGTTTCTATCTGTTTCTCCTTTTTATTTTTTTCTCTCTCCTGGAAGCTGAACGGTTTCTGAATGGAGATCAGGAATAGCTTCCTCTCTTCCTGGCCCTGTTTCCGCTCTTTTGTTCTGAGCTCCATCATCTCCTGGTAGCTGGTGCGAACGATGTGGACGGGGACAGGAACAGCACAGAATTTCTTTTTACACTCAGCCTCATCTGCTTCCTCTTTGGCCTGCTGTGTTGTTTTAAATAAAGCGAATCGTTCACACGGCGAACATGTGTTAGGCCTCTGTTTGGGTTTGCTGGGGCTCCTTTTATCTGAGGTCAGAGCAGATAAAGAGGTGGATCTCCTCATTCCCACAAATCTGAAAAACATAGACTGTATTTTAATACATTAATTATAATTTTACACAAAAAAATGAACCATCTCAGAAGGTATACAATTGTTTTTCATCATCTGATTTTCCATTTTCATCACTTGACAGGTGAGAGTTCTGATGAATCCTTTTCTCCAGCTCCTCTGTCTGTTTTTTCTTTAACTCCTGCAGCTGCAGACTGAGAGACTTTCTCATAGCCTTGAGCTGAAGCTGGAGCATAATCTCTGATCGCTGTACATCCTCCAGCAAAGTGTCAGACGTTGCCATTTTTATTGTATCTGATTTAAAAAATAAAGAAACAAAAGAGGATAAGAGACAAAATAAAACTAAGTAATTCAACTCTGGATTTGAACCCAACATCTTCAGGAAGAATTTTCATGCAAATCTATCAAATCTACTCTGACAGTATACATTTTTATCCATTAAGATGAGATGACATCAGTGAAATTGATTAAAACCTTTGATTTAGAAAATGTTTCTGGGACTTAAAATTGTTTTTGAAGTATTTAAAAATGTTTTTATTTATTTATTTATTTATTTATTTATTTATTTATTGCATTTCACCTGTATTTCCTCTCTTTTTATTTCCAATCTCTGATCATTTAAAGAAATGTGTTTGTTAGTTAAGTAAAATAATGAAATAAGATGTTTTAGCATACAACACATTATTTTTTTTTCCTATTTTATTTGGCAGCACAGAAATAAAAACTTTTAACGATTAATAAAGTGATAATGAGTTTCTCAGGTCCTGTGTCGAGAATTTTTTAATATTTGTTTTCTAAAAGACATGACTTCCTCTTACTGTTCATCTGTTGTATGATCATTTGTGAGTAAATTAAAATAAAATAACACAAAAGATACTCGAATTCCACAGTAACGCGATTAAAATGCCTCCACAAAGCCTGGAGGAATAGAAAATAACTAAAAACTAGAAATTCGCCTCTAGGACGGGGTATTTACTGTGTTTGTGACTGTCTATGTCAGTCTTAACTGATTGTGTAACCGGTTACTATGGCAACCACCTCTCGGCGCTCTCAACCTTGGTTTTACATAATTTCCGTCACAAAAAATACACTTCTATTATTTATAACGAACCCCACACTTTATTAAATGCTTCCTTGCATTTAAAGGCCGATAATTTGTCGAAAAAAAAAAATAAAATTAATCTCAAAAGAAAAAAAAGCTGCCAACCTGGTAACAGACGAGTTTACTGAAGCGCTTTTTTCTGACTCCTGAAAAACTCCAAATTCTTGTTTTTAGTATTTTAGGATGTTATTTGATGAGAAGAAGAAGTTTGCATCAAGCTTGAAGCGCAGCAAACGGTCGTTTTGGTAGCAATAGCACTGTTGGTGGACGGACGTAGCCACGCTAGACGTAACGTACGTCCACTGCGATTGGTTATGAAACCGGAAGCATTTCCCTACGACGCTCGCTTGTCAACAAAACATGGCTGGGTTACAGAAAGGACACAGCTGCAGTTATTAGGTAAATTTCAAGGGGGACTCTCCATCTGAGTGTTGAATGAAAATCTGCAGACGCTGAACGCAGTCTGTATTTTTCCATTTTAGGTGTTTCGTGTGGATAAAAGACCGAGGACAACGATGCACAAGCTCACAAGGGCGCCACTGGCCCTAAACGGACTGCGTTGCTTACTAACAGATAAGCACATATCTGCTGTAAATATCATCAAGAGAGGATGTGTGTGTGCAGAAAACAGAGGAGTTTCTGACAAGAAGGAGGTTTATGATGTGATAATATCCGGTGGAGGGATGGTTGGATCTGCTATGGCATGTTCCTTAGGTGAGTGTGACCCAAATGTAACCACGTTTCATTCAAATGAAGCATTTGAGTGATTTTATTCGCTGTGGAGTATTAAAGGGGAAAATGTGACAGTAGAGAAAAATAATCTACCATATAACCATAAATCATTCTGCAGCTTCTGAGGGTTGTTGGATGTTTACAGTAAATTTGATACTTTTTCTGTTTCTCATAGGAATGGATCCCAACTTGTCAGGTAAAAGGATTCTTCTCCTTGAAGCTGGACACAAAAAAGTGATGGAGAAGGTTCCTGATGCCTACAGCATCAGGGTTAGCTCCATCAGCCCTGGCTCTGCCACTCTCCTCAGCGGTACAGTTTGACACAAAAAAACTTTATCAAAATGTTGTCTAAAGATTTTTGTTGTTGTTGTTGTTTAGCATTGCTACTTAAATTTTAGATTTTTGTATGTCTGTGAAATTAAATTGGCCCTACACAGTAGAACAGAGATGAGACAGGAAGTCTGGATTATCAGGAATCCTGTCTGACCCTAATATTCCTCGTGGGACACTGCCAGCACTTTGTGAAGGTTAAAGTCTGTGAAAGTCTGAGTCAGGGATTTAAATCTTTTAAAGGCGTTATCATCTATTAGAAGCATTGTTTGTAGGGATGCACCGATGGATCGGCATTTGATCGTAATCGGCTGATAGCGCCCCTATCGGTTTTGATCGGAGTTTTCAAAATAGATCAAAGCAGACCAATCAGGTAGGGTTGTCACGGTAACCAGTGTAGCGGTAAACCCCGGTAAAAAAAAAAAGTTGACGATAAAAACCGTCTTGTTTTTTTAAAGAACTATATTATCTTGGTGGGTTTACCGTGGCTGCGGTGTAGGCGCGGTGACCCTAAACCAGCCACCATATCATCTGCTGAAGTTGCAGGACCGGCGGCACATGCGCGCTTTGTTGTTAATGACCAAAACTTTCTTGAAGCTAAAGCTGAAATAATGACCAAAGGAGGAGACGGCAGCGCTCAGGACATTTATTATCCCTCAGAGAAGACAAAGTGGGAAGTACGGGCATCTTTTAGATATTTGAAGAATGCCGAGGGAGTTTATAGAAGACGGGCGGCTATCCTGTTTGCAGCACGTGCAGAAAAAGTGTCTGTGAAAGGCAGCAACGCTTCAAATCTCATGACACATCTGCGTGACCATCACCCACAACTCTACAGTCAACGCAAGGCAAGCTAACGTTAGCGTTTTAGCTCAAATGCGTGATCCGAGGATTTGGGTTGAGGGGGAATGCAACGAGTCGCTATATAAAGCAGCCGCAGCGCCCGCTACCTGCATATAAACTGTGTCGCGGACACCCCCATGTTGAAATGACGCTATGCATTACGGGGCTCCCAAGGGCAGATAAGAGTTGGTCTCTCTCCGAGAATAATTATGAATTTAACAATGATTACTGCCTGATGACATTTTCCCACATCCGCAAAGCTCACTGGAACACAAACCGAGGACAATATTTTCCTGATATAGGGTTTATTACTCAAGTAAGGGTAAAAAAGTATCTGATTAGAAGGCTACTTGAGTACTGAGTATCATCTGATCTAATATTTTTAAAATGATGACATCAAACAGACATAAAATAAGAAGTTATGGGCGAATATTGGTATTTTAAAGACTAAAGGGAAAAAATGTAAACAAATAAACAACATCATTACAAAATAACACATTTTAGGCTAAATTTAGACGCATACTGAGGACAATATTTCCTGACATACAGGGTTTATTTAATTGTGTGAAAATGTAGCACGTTTAAAAAAAATACCGCGATAATACTGAAAACCGTGGTAATTTTGGTCACAATAACCATGAGGTTAAATTTTCACACCGTGACAACCTTAATACAGACCATTTTAGATTAGGTTGCATTTCCTTTATTCCCAGATTATGTAGTTTGTAGCACTCATTATAATGTTGTAGAAAATTTCTGGCCAATCCACGTGATCGGTATCGGTGATCGGTATCGGTGATCAGCATTCTTTGATATCGGTATCGGTGATCGGCAACAAAAAACCTGATCGGTGCATCCCTAATTGTTTGCGTCAATTTTCATAAGCAAATACAGTGGTGTGCAAACGTTTTGAGACATTTGCTATAATCAGCAAGTTGAAAGTACTAAAAAATTAAGTTTTTTTACCTACTTAAAACATAAACTTTATAATGTAATGGAAGAAATCATTTTCTTTATAGAAAATGATCTGTAAATTATTCTAGAGACAGAAAAGGAGTTTGTAAATGTGCCTTAATAAAGGAGAAGCATCAGGTTTCCTTCAATAGACATTTTAGTTTTTTTCTCATCAACAAAAGCAGGATGCAAGTCACTGTTTTTCCAGTATGCTTTGCTTTATTTGGTGAAGTTTTATATATGGTGCTCACAAGTCTGCGCATCACTTTTTCCATATTTTGTTATGTTACAGTCTTGTTTGTAATTGGAAAACTCACCAGGACAGAACTTCTTCTGTAACCTTCCCCAGATTTGTACCTGGAAACAATCCTGTCTCTGAGCTCTACAGACAATCCCTTTAGCTTCAAGCTTGGTTTGTGCTCTAACATGCATCATCACCTGTCGGATGTCGTATAAACAGATGTGTGCTTTACCAAACCAGGTGCAGTTAGTGTAATTTACCACAGGTGGACACCAGTTACGCTGCTGAAACAGCTCAGGTGGAAACAGGATGCATCTAAGCTCAATTTTGAGGCTCACGGCAAAGGCTGATTTCACAGCTTTATATTCAATAAATTTACATTCTGAAAGGAATGTAACCCAAACAAATTCTTAGTTAACTACCGTAGTTTTTATCTGTACAAAATAGGGATGCTTAACCAATACCAGGAACCGATTCCAATGCAGTAGCTTGAAAGTGGCTTCACTGTAACTTGTCATTTCTGTTCACCTAATATTTTAGTTTTGTGATCATTTCTATTTATATATTTTACTTTTTATCTACCTAACAGTATTTTCCTGTTGAAACCAGAGAAGAAAATAAAACCTGTATTCCAATTCACAGCATTTTTTTGTGTGGTAGAAGTATCTGTATGGTAATTGGTATCGGCGAGTACTCAGATCCAAGTATCGGTATCGTGTCAATTTGGAAAAAAGTGGTATTGTTGCATCCCTTGTAGAAATATATAATCCTGCCTCTTTACTACAGTATTCACATTTTGATTTACAGATTTTGACAGATTTATTTGCTCAACACAGACCTGTAATTTACAGGTATTGGAGCATGGGAGCACATCACAAAAATGAGATGCAAACCCTATAAACGGATGCAGGTATGTTGGACTGCTAATCTTTTGCAAGTGTTTAAATATATATATATATATATATATATATATATATATATATATATATATATACACACACAAAAAAGGCTAAAGTTTCTGCTTTATCAGAACTTTAAAGACAAAAATAACTAGAAATGTTGCTGGAATTTCTCTGTTCCTCTGTTGAAATTTGCCCAACGATTCCTCCAGACTCCAGATTTGCTGGCGTACTACATGTATTTCTGTCAGTCATCAGTCATGGCACCATGTAATTAGTGGAGAGAAAAATCTGTGACTCTCTGCTTGTACTCAGTCATCCAAATTAATCAGCAAGCATCACAATGCGGCATCATATAATCATGTATACGATATGTAATTGTTCACATTAAAATAGCAAAAGGTGGTTTCGTGTAACATGCATTTTGTTCATTCCTATGTGCAATTTATGTCTTTTCAGTAGCTTTGCAGAGGCTCTGGCACACTAAATACCAACTGCGCTTGAGGTATATTTAAAGAAAGGCCATCGCCTGGCAGATTCAGGGAACTGGATGGCTCTCTGACTGTGCAAGTTTTATTTATTAAAGCCATGTTCTCAATGAGGAGTAAATCATTCTGATGTTTCAAATTGCTACTTCTGCTCCACATCTAATTATGAAGCCTCATGTGAACAGCAGGGAGAAGATGAAAGATTAGGAGAGTGGTTGTTTGCTGCAGGGTGAACCCACTTTACGGCTGTGGGTGCAGGCTTGGTCCCTCTTGTAAGATGTGGTCTCTGTGTACCAAACACTCGACCGCAGGGTTTCTCTTTAGGCCCAATATGTCATCATGCTGTGCTTTACAGTGATTATGGCAGTGTACGTCTCCCATTATACCTTCACTCTTCTACCACTGTTTTGGCTTGTTTGCCCACCAAATTTGAGTCGTATACATCCCAGCCATTGAACTGGACAGTATGTACTGTACGTAAACTCTAAATAGTGCGGTTTCTCGGCGGTAAAGTGCCTCTTTCTTCTTAAACTTGGTTCTGAGAATTTGAAAAAGACAGCAAGTAGCATTTTTCCCACTTTTTTTTCTTCACTATAAAGCTGCTATGAAGAATACTGTTTAAATTTTGCTCAAAAAGCAATAACTTATTCAGCCCCAAAAGGGCATCATTTCACCAGCATTTAACGAAACCAAAACAATTTTTGGGCTGGTCTCAGTAAATCTTTCTTCCTAACCACTTATCACAAGTTGCAGACCAACTACCATTAGTGGTTTGACTGTGGGGTATATCCCCCTACTTTATGGCAAGTTGGAAAAAAGCTGTGTGGCAGCATATTACTGCCGAATGACAGGTTGTGTCGCCATAGTTACAGCTCAGGAGGAGAATTAACCTCGTACAAACACTTTTTCACCCGTTCTTGTTCGACTCAAACAAGTCTATCTCACGATGCCACTTTTTTAGGTGTGAATAAATATTGACACTCTGTAGTGTTCACAAACGTGTCACTTTTTATTTGGGTTTCCAAGTTTGACATTTGGCAGAAAAAGAGGAAAAAATCCACATCACAGAATATAAATCCGATTCTCCACCTCACAGAGCTCGACTGAGATGAAGTCGGCTGTCCGTCTTCAGAGGGACGCTGACCGTCGTCGCTTTGGGTGTAACTTTGATGTGTTTATCTCACTGAAATGCCCTGCTAAATTTAGGGAGGAGGAATTTATTTAAGCATAGACTTGTGGACCACAGGCATAATGAGTCTCTCATTTAGGTTTGGGATGCCTGCTCAGATGCCCTGATCACATTCGATAAGGAGGACCTGCTGGACGAGATGGCATACATCGTGGAGAACGATATCATCGTGGCTGCAATCACCAAACAGCTGGACACCCTGCCCGGTAAGGACAGGATGTATGAGTAAAACATGAATGACCACACAGTAGCGTGTTGTCTTTTCCATCCCGCTCTGAGTCTGGTGCTTAATGCCGCCACATATCCTGTCCTCAGGTTCTGCTTGTTTGCAGTCCCTTCATATAACTGCTTTTAAATACCGGCACTTGGATCCATCCGTGTTTTTCCTCACATTTTGGGAGCCGTAGCGCTCTGAGGACACGTGAAATGGTCCAGTGACCTATTTAGAGTGCCCATGTGCTCCGAAGCCTCGCCACCTCACGAGACACAAAATCCCCAACAGAGCAGAACGCTGCCTTGCTGTTGACATATGATCAACTTTTTTGAGGTTCTCTTATAAAGCTCAGCTATTCTTTTGTGCTCGGGAGTTTGATTGGCATATTTATAAACAGTTTTTAACATTTAGCACCAAGCAGGGGCTGTGTGGTTCCGGCACGTTTTGGGCCTCGTGCCTCCCATGTGTCCGCTTCACTCTCCCTCTGCTCTTCTTTTAGCCTCTGTGTTGTTATGCGGAAGATGCAGTACATGACAAGTGTGGTCCTCGCCGGCTGTTTTCAGCGTGCTCCAATCACAGAAAACCGATAGTTGACGTTGCAGGAACCAGTAGCAGCTCTGCGGATGGGTCCCGCTCCAAGTCAGCACGAGCCAGCGTACTTCAAAATCCTTCTGTGTGTGGGGTGACCAGCCGCTGATATTTTAGGAGCAGGGGCAGCTTTAAGTGTAAAATCTAAGGAGCTGGCAACGTTTCTAACGAGCAGAGTGGAGAACTTGTAGATAAACACTATTAGTCGGTGTAATGCGGCAGGCCAAGACCATTAAGACTGTCAAAACGTGAAGCTTAGCAGCTCCCACGTGCCAGCGAGGAAAGCCAGTGGTGTTTTATGGGGTGGTTTATAGATCTTTCCCCACTTTGACTGCAATAGCCATCCTTTCCTTTAATTTTTAAAGTAAAAGTAGCAAAGCACGGATTTACTGAAATGATGCATTCATAGACCCAATCAGCTGAATGAAGATAAGACTGAGATCCTCATCTGTGCCCCAGACAAGCTGGTTCCCAAAGTCAGAGACTCTCTTGGTCAGCTTGCTTCTCACACCAAACCTTCCATCAGGAATCTTGGTGTGACCTTTGACCCAGCTCTCACCCTGGATTCTCATGTCAGTTCTCTTGTTCGCTCTTCCTTCTTCCATCTCAGGAACGTTGCTAAGCTGAGTCCCATTCTGTCCCGCTCTGAACTTGAGACAGTTCTCCACACCTTCATCTCCTCACGCTTAGACTACTGTAACTCTCTTTTCACGTGTCTGAGCAGAACCTCCCTGAACTGTCTACAGGTGGTTCAGAATGCCTGTGCTCGGCTTCTGACCAAGTCCTCCAAACACACCCACATCACCCCGCTTCTCCTCCAGCTTCACTGGCTGCCAGTCAGCCTCAGGGTTCACTTCAAGATCCTGGTTCTGGTCTATAGGGCCTTACATGGACAAGCACCATCTTACATTGGTGATCTTCTTAGTCCCTACACCCCCAGCAGGTCCCTGAGGTCCAGTGATCAAAGCCTACTGGTTGTGCAGCGCACCAGGCTAAAGACCAAAGGTGACAGATCATTTGCTGCTGTGGCCCCCAGACTCTGGAACTCTCTCCCCCTGAGCCTGAAATCAGTGGACTCAGTGGTTTCCTTTAACAAGCAGCTGAAAACTCACCTGTTCAGGCTGGTTTTGTGTGACCTTCATCACCCTCTCCTTGTTCTGCTCCCCCACCTATTCCACCTTCCTCAGGATCCACTGATTTCCCTCTTTCCTATTCACTCTTTCTCGCTCTCTACATTTTTATCACAATTGTCTATTTTTGCTCATTTTAAATATATTTGTAATCATTTTCTAAATAATTTTTTACATTTTTTGTTTTTGTGAAGCGCCTCGCGATTTTTGTCTTGAGAGGCGCTATAGAAATCTTCTTCTTCTTCATCTTCTTCGATGTCAGAAAGTCAGCTTTTGCAAATCTATTTTAAAAGTGCAATTTCCTTATTTTTCCCTGTTTTTGTTGTTAGATAATGTGCAAGTTAAGTACAGATCTAAGGTGGTGAAGTATACGTGGCCTGTGTTCCACCGCACAGCGGACGCCGTCCCATGGGTGCAGGTCACTTTGGCGAGTGGACAAACTCTTCAAACGAAGCTTCTGGTAGGTTCAGTTCCCTCGTACAAACTGTAGACGTGCTCCTGTCTTGGGTTAGGGTTAAACTTTCTGCTTCTCGTGTGCCGCGCAGATCGGCGCTGATGGACCAAACTCGATGGTGAGGCAGGAGTTGGGAATACCTACGGTCAAGTGGAATTATGACCAATCAGCCGTGGTGGCAGTGCTGCACCTATCCGAGGTGATCGCCGTTTTTAACATTTCTCATTGAACTTTTCTAAAAGTACAGTTTCTGTTTGCATTATGTTTAATCTCTAAAATGTAATGATGCATTGTGTGTTCCAGCCCACTGAAAACAATGTTGCATGGCAGAGATTCCTCCCAACAGGCCCTATCGCGATGTTACCGGTAATATTTCTAAGTCGTGCTAATTATCCCCACCATCGAGGTTTTTCTTTGAGGGGGAGGGGTTTCATTGACTGTTGTCCTTTCTCCTCAGCTATCAGACACCGAGAGCTCTCTGGTTTGGTCAACTAGCCCTGAACTAGCCGAGGAGCTCCTTGAGCTGGAAGAAGAAAGCTTCGTCGATGCAGTGAACTCTGCTTTCGTGAGTCTGGCTGTTTCCTTTAAATTGGCCGATGCTGTGTTTAGGATCTGTCAGTGATCTGGGTTTGTGTGCAGGGATTCTCCAAACGCCTACCTCACGAGCTGATTTGAGTGACTCACACAAACAATTTGGTCATTGTTTAGCCCAGTCTCCATACAACAATAATAATCCTCTGCAGGGATGATATACCTATCCGTGTTTGGAGAAGCTCCGTTTTTCCCAAGCTGGCTATTTTTACTTGGCCTGCTGATGGATGGGGTCACCACGGTTTAGTCACGTTCGGTCACAGGCCTGGTTTGCTAATTAAACCTGTGGTCTCCCAGTGTCGACCATTACTGCATGGAATGTTTTTCAAACAGAGCTAATTCAACTGCAACGCCTGGCCGGCATCTTCTTTTAATTAGCTCAGCTCCCGAGTCCCTGCCAAACCATTTCGTTAGGAAGGAAGGGGTGTGGGGGAGCACTTTCCCTGGCCTGGAGTTCAGCTTTGCTCCTGTGTCAGCTAAATTCTCCATCCACAAAAAAGGATAATGTCTGTTTTCTCTCTCTCTCTTCTGGTCATTTTTCTCTTCCCTTTGAATAAATGTGTCGCTGGCAGTGGAATAATGAGAACCACTCAGACCTAATTGAGACAGCGAGCTCTCTGTTCCGGGGCGCCCTTTCCACCATGACGCCATCAGCAGGTTCACCTCGACAGCTTCCACCGAGCGTGGCGGGAATCGGCCCAAAGAGCAGGGTGATGTTCCCATTAGGAATGGGTCACGCATCTGAGTACATCAGGCAAAGAGTTGCGCTCATTGGGTAAGATTAACAACCGTCACCATCCATGTTGGCTTTTAGGAATGGTTGCTGGTATTTTCAGAAGATCCTTACATGAATGTTTCTGGATTGTAGATGATTTGTTCTTGTTGCAGGGACGCAGCTCATCGTGTTCATCCGCTAGCAGGTCAGGGAGCCAACCTGGGATTTGGGGATGTAGCTTGCCTCACGCAGCTCTTGAGCCAGGCAGCTTTTGATGGGAAAGACCTGGGTCAGTGAGCTTTTTCTGATGCCAAAACTTAAACGCGATCTGATGATTCAGTCTTTAAAGAGCAGCAGATTTTCCAAATGACTGTTGCTCTTTTTTATAAATAAAAAACCAAATTGTCACTTTTTTTTTACTTGTGTTTTGTGCAGGAGCGATCCAGCACTTGTTGGAGTACGAGACTGAGCGTCAGCGACACAATCTGCCCATGATGGCTGCAATCGACCTCATGAAGCGACTTTATTCCACCAACGCGGCCTTTGTGGTTCTCCTACGCACCTTCGGTCTGCAGGCCACCAACATGCTCCCAGCTTTAAAAGTAGGCTCCATCTCCGTCTGCTTTGGCATCTCCAACCTGGATCGCGCTCAGATCAAATCAACCACCTGTCAACTCTAAGCTCCGCCCACACCATGACCCCACCCTCTCTTTCTGATTACATGGAGCTTTACCGTAGCAGTGCCTATAATTTCAAGAGTTCTGAACCTACTACTATGGCGTCTAAGTTTAGCCCTAAATTTAGTGTTACCAAAAGTGTGTGGGTGGGGTGCACTGCTGGCCCTGGGGCAGCGGACAGTGGTGTTGGCTTGTGTTTTCACACTCCTTTTATTACCGACCACTCATGTGAAATGACTTTATTTCCTACTAAGTATCTCTAACCGACATAGCTGTAACTGGCTGCGAAGGCGTTTCACTGAGTTAAAAGTGACATTTTTCCATATTAAACGCTGAGTTCAGAAGTTTACAGGTCTTGTTTAGGTTTGCAGTTCCACTCACTCAAAGCAAGCTTTCGAAAAGCGTGATTCAAAGGTTGCACAATCTTATTTCTGCTTCGTTTTCTCGTTTCAGGAGCAGATCATGGCCTACGCAAGCAAGTGATAAACCTGCAGAAGAGGATTTTCAGTCATTTTCAGCTTTAAAATCTTTTGGTGTAAAATAAATGAATAAAACCTTTTGATATTTATTACTCTGATTCCATTATTTATGTTTGATAGTTAGAAACGTTTGAGTCAAATCACATTTTCCATGTTTTATTAAAACATACATGTTTATAATTCCCTTATGTCACAAGATTTAATGGAAAACATTTACATAGTATCGGAAATCAAAGTATCGACACTAATAGACAAAGACGATCTCGGCAACTGTGTGATGTAAAAGATGTTCCTGCCAAACCATTTCACTAAGTTTACATTGTGTATATATACAGCAGTAGTAACTGAATACGTTTAATAATGAAAAAGACAGCATACTGTAGGCAAAAAAGAATATTGCATGAGAATAATAAAAATACTCTTGCGTAAACTTTCATTTTTTTTAAATATTTGTACAATTCACAAGAAAGATTTTACAACAAAGTGGAAAAGGACGAGTTTCCAGAGGAGTTTATACATAATTTGTGTTTTAGTTCTTATTCTGTAGATGAAGTTGTTGGGTGCACCATCGGAGTGGTTCAGCTCAGACCCCTGCCGTTTAATCAAGCTTGATAGGGTTACTGTTAAAAACTAAATAAAATAATACCAACTGCACCATTAAAAACAACCTTCTCTGTGAGAGGCTTCCTTTAACCCCTCTGAATCATGGCGAGCCCAACACTAAAGAATATTTACAACGGTAAAAGAAATCAAAGCAACTGTTCATAAGCTACAATATCTGCAGGTAAAGTGTTTTGTGCAAAGTTGAGGAAAAAAAAAACAGCAAAAATGCTGCATGGTAGTCAGCTGCTCCCTTTCCAATGATGTCTTACTTGTTTAATGCTAAGCAAACGAACTAGGGTCCTGTAAAAACTGTTTACTGCCAGAATAAAGAGAGAATGGATTTACAAGCATCTAGAAAGACAATTGTGGTTGCAACTCCAGCAACTAGTGTCTAAGTTTGTTCCACTATGCTGCAACAGCGCACACCAGGACCAAAGTAAGCACCAAAACACCATGACTCCTTGCATCGCCTCCAAAAATACCCTCTTTACAGGTTGGTCAGGGAAGATTTCAGATCCCCCACCCATAAGGAACCATAAAATGTAAACGTTTTATAAAAATAAAATCAGCCCACCAATTCTGAGCTCAACATACAGTAGAAAAAGATGGCCTTATAAAAATATAGTGATTTCTATTTTGCTTTTTTGTTTAAAAACAGTTCATGAAGTGTTTGCAGGGTGCTGAGGTTTGGTGACAGGAGGGGGTTGGGGTGTGGTGGTGGGTGAGGATGGAAGGAGGACCCACAGTGACAGACTGTCTCTCTCAGTGCCAGCTGCAACTAGTGCACACTGTCCTTAGTGGATGTTGAAGTTTCTGAAGAAGTCGAAGGTCGCACCGAGGGCCCAGCTCGTCTCCACGTTGTTCACCTTCTTGGCCAGCTGTTGAACAAAGTGAGAGGAGATTCTCCATTAAAACTTAATGGTTATTTTGATGAGTTCTCCATTTAGATTCTTGGACCACGGCTTGAGCATCTCACCTGCAGCATTGTGCTCTCCTTGAAGCCAAAGCCCTCCTTTAGCAGGCAGGTGATATACGTCATATCCATGCAGAGGAAGGGGTTGATGGCACCATATTTGGTCATCTTGTTGCACACTGCAAACAAAAACAAGATCAATTATTTAAATAAAATCTTGGAATCTATTTTCTTTGTTTAAAATTTTCACCTAATAGCGTTAAAAAAACACTTCTAGCCCTTGTGCTACATGACTGGGATTTCTATTTTGTTTGGCTGCATGAGCAGGGAGGTGTGAGGAGTGCGGCTGAGGGTCAGCGCAGGGCTACGGGTGGGTGTGTTTGTGTGTTTAAGCATCCAGGTGGTGTGTGGCTGTCAGGTGCCTTCCTGCCTGGGCCCTGCAGACACCTTCAGCTCAGCTGCCAGCCGAGTTTTGAGCCACAATTGTTACTCGACGCCATGTGACAATGTTCTCACAACTCAAAAGGGTCTTACATAAGACACCAACTCATTCCTTCTTGATACAAACAAGGATCTATGGTGCATCCATGTAAATCAGACCTAATGGGTGCAGGTTTAAAGCTCTCATTCACTCATTTATTCAGTACATTTGCTGTGGTCTCTTGTAAAAAATGAATGCGAGTGAGATAATCTCTGTCGTTAAAAAAATAATAAAGCTCTGGCGCTCCTGTTTCAGGCAGTAGAAATTAGTTGGAGGAGTGGGAGGTAGAAAACGGCAGGATTGGGAAACTTTCTTATCAATATTCATGATATTCTAGCATCTCGCCTCTGATTGGCTAACATCAACGTGACTCTTCCACTGCCTCCATTCACTCTGCAATGTTGATGTTTTATCTCCACAAATAACTTAAGCCTGAAGGACTTCTCCCATGTTGTAGAGTTGCTAATGTTAATTGTTAGCTTCTGCTAGCTCGGATGAGCTCTGCTCTCTCCTGGCTGCTAAATCAACAACAGTCTTCCTCGGTCATGAGCCAAGATGGGTTTCTGACCCGACTGGTTCCCTGTCATTTTTCTTTTGGCGGCTAGTGCAGCGGATGGGGGAAGCAGACTTTTTCACATTTAGCATGCATGTGAAACAGCATAACTGAAATTATTTAAAAGATAACAGTAAAATTGGATTCACGGTGAACCTGCTCGCCAACGTGTTTAAAGAACATTCTCTTGTTGCCTGAAGGTTTAAACCTGCAGCACTGACTCTTACCTTCTTTGGCTTTCTTCTTAAAGTCCCTGACTTCAACCGCACCGCCTCGATTGCCTTGCGTGCAGAAAGCAAACATGCATTTAGAACGTCCACTTTATAATTAGCAGGAAAGATAATAGCACTGAAAGGTGTCCGGTTGGGTTTTCACTCACCAACCAGTCCGGTTTCCACGGCTCGATCGAAGTAGTGGGAGAAAGCATAGAAGATGCTGCTGCCTTTCACTTCGTACGGCTGGTGGAATATACCTTTGATGACCCTCTGGACCTCGTAGTAGCACAGCTTATAACCTGCATAACCTGAAGAAACAAGGCAGAAGAAGATTTTTGTTTAATGCTGACAGATGCGATGGGGGAGAAAAAAGGATTTCAGTCGCAACAATGGATGGAATGCAGCTGGGAGCCTCAGTCCGAGGTCAGCGGGCGGTTTGGAAACTAGGGGCTCACCAGATTATACACAAGGGAAGCCCCAGAAGGGCAAGTTTCACACGGCCCCATGGGTACAGTTGGGCCAATTGTGCTGGCGAAACCATGTGCTGACAAGTGCGGCAGTTAGAGCAGCCCTGTTGTGTTGTCTATTTTTACCACATAATTGTGAGCAGGCCAGATCAAGCTGCTCTTTACACACCAAAAAACAACAAGTCAGGGACAAGCCGGGCATCTTCTGGTTACTTGACTGTGGTGTGGGAGGCGCTGCCTTATTTGTGAAGTGAACTGACAGTTTTCTGTTTCTTTTAAATACAAGGTTGATGACAGCATAATTGTTCAAGTGGGAACGCAGAGAAATAGAAGACGACAAAACATGTGTTTGGTGCCAAGATTAAAGGAGCTTCAGCTGATATATGCTCTCACGTGAGTTTTATTGTACTGTACGCTATTGTGTTCCTGAGCTGAGAGAGGAATGCGTGGATTGCTGGACACAAAACACTGGGACGGCGTTCAAAACCGCGGGATGCTTTTATCTTACCGCCTGGAATCCCGCTAACTTTATAGGTGCTTCCTGCAAAAGTCACTTCTTCTCTGAATTTTTTCGGAAGGCAGGAACTGGTGAAGACTTTCCAATCCAGGCCTGGAAAAACAAAAACAAGAAAATGTTCACCATGTGATGAAGTTGTTTTCCCAAAGCAAACACAAGGAAGGTGATAACAGGTGTGGGATACTCTACCATCAGCTCCTAGAGCTCCAAGGGTCATCAAGCGGGCCGCCACTATCCCATTCCCAAGGTAGCTGTTGAGGTGACACAAATGATGTGTGTTTTACTTTCAAATCTCAAAAATAAAACATCATTGACACTTTTTTAGTTATTCACCTGTGTGTGTAGAGCTCATACGTGTTGTTGAACAGGTTGAATCTGGCTGTGAAAGTGGGCGGGGCATTTTCAATTGTTTTCTGTTGGATTAAAACAAATGTTAATTACTATTTTTTATTAGTACTGAAGTCCTTTTTTAATTTTTTAACCACATGAAATATTTAAATCACCTTTGACTTTGGAAGGAAGGTGATCTGTGTGGAACCTCCGCCCAAATCCAGGATCCCCACCGTCCTCCTGGTGTTGGAGTACAAGTGTCCTGTGGGGGAACACGCAGAAGGTGAGTGACAGAAGCTAGGATGGAGCACCGTGATGGTGAAGATGCTTATTGTCTAATCTGAAGGAATCATTTCTCATTTTAAAGGTGCATTATGTAGAAATGCAGTGAAAATGACATCCTGTGGTAAAATTGGGTTACTGCAACCACTTTACACATCTGGAGCTTTTTGCCGGCCGGCGTGAAATTATTGTTGGTGCTGCAGCATTACCTCGCAGGAGACATGGCAACCCCATACTCACTGATGGTAAACAGTGGTTATGCCCCTCCTTCCTTTGTTTTGAAAGGAGATAAACTGACAACCCTTCTGCCAGCTGGACAACCTTCCTTCCAAAATGAAACATTAGACTTTTTTGGGGATTTTCTCCCTATAAAATTCTCACTATATTTTTACATGCTGCACCTTTAAATATAAGACATTTTTGAGCTTTTGTTGTGTTTTGGGCTTAGAAATGAGACAAGAGTCTCTTTTCGTGAATTCTGTGTACCTCTAACACCACCATATAACACAAGCTATGCCTTACCTGTGAGGAAGTTCACAGTGACCCAGGCGAGGACTCCTAAAACCACACGAACAAAAAAACACATCATCAGTCAACCTGTCTTAGAGGTGATCACAACCACAATAAAATGTGGCCCGAAGCAATAAAAGATCACTGACCTTCGTTGGCTCCATTCATGATTGAAACACTTTCATTTGGCACGTAGAAAGGTGATTCTTCAAACACTTCTTGTACCTGTGAAATTCATCAGTTTTTCAATAAAAAGTTCAAAGAACTTTGTGCTTTTCATGCTTCATGTACCGTTGATTTCTCTTTTCTTACATTTTTGCTGTCGAGCACATAGAAATTGGATTGGGGGGGCGACTGGATTTGTTTTAACCACTTCCTAAAGATCTTCGTTGTCTGAACTTGATGCGTTTTTAAGTGGCAGATAACTGAACCACAGACATGGCTGGAACAGCAGCCTGTATGATACTTAAAATGCCGAATAGGGTTGCTCCGCACAACCCAACAACAGCTGTTCTTCAGAACATGATAGCCACCAAATGGGCAGACTTGCTGCCTTTTCGTTTAGTGACACTTGTAAGCACTTAGTGGTTTTCTCATCCCGATCCTGGTGGGACGGCCAAACTGTCTGAGGGCAGAGTGAAAACGTGCCTCACCTCCTTCAGCAGGGCATTGGCCTTCTCTTCAGGCAGCAGACGCAGACCCGCCGTGGCCTTCAGGACCACAGGTGTCCGTTTCCACTCCTCCTCTGGCACAGTCTTCTTGGCAATTTTTAGTAGCTGACGGATGGTGTTCCCTCCCTGTGCAACAGGAAAACCAAAAGATGTTTCTTTGAGCAGTGCAGATGTATGCATCAGAGGGGAATGCATGGGGAAGCAGGAATTTTTGGAATTGCACATTGTTTGCATCACATGAACCCAACCCAAAAGCAAATCCAAGTGGTTTAGTGGTTCTCTGACATCGAGCAACTCCCTACTACCTGGAAAAAAAAGAAATGATTATTTCAATGGGCTTACATACCTCTTCAGGCTTGTCCTTGTATTCTGACAGTCCAGGTTTGATAGCATGGAACATTTCATTGTCCAGAACTGGAAGCTCAACTACAAAAAAAGTCACAAAAATGTCATTTAAACATTAAAGCTGAAACAAAAATGTATTTTGTTAGTGATTTATACACATTTTCTTCGTTTTTGCCCTTCGCCTACATCCAGACCCAGTTTGAAAGGTTTTACAGCTTTAATTTCCACAGTTGAGTTAGACAGACTAATTAAAAGTCCTCCATCTGCTACTTTTAGATTTGCTCATGCACTCAGAGTCCTGACACCACACAGAGAATGACCTAACAGCAAACAGAGTGGGAGTGCGCTGCAAGTGCAGAGAGAGAGAGGGAGGGAGGGAGAGCCTTGCACCTACCGGGGTCTTTCTGAATGAACTTGTAGATGTGGATCCTGGTTCCGGTGCTGCCGGCATCAAACATGATCCCATAGAAAACGCGGCTTTGCCCGGGAGAGAAGGGCGCCTCGGCCGCGGTGTGATGGTGCATCTGATGGAGGAGATGGGAATCAGGTGCAGGATGCACCACTTCGGGTACCGGGTGGAAAGCCTCCGGGATCTGGTGGATGACGGGCGGCGCTGGGTGGAACACCTCGGGCACGCCAGACCGCGTGGCTTCAGGCGCCGGGTTGGAGGCGTCTGGGAGGAGGTTCTCTGTGTTGGCTGAGTGCTCCCGGTAGCGGTAGTGGGGGACGTAACGGTGGTGGCGGTAGTAGGTCGCCTCCGTGAAGAGGCTCCCGGCCAGAAGCCACACAGTGAGGATGATGGTCGGCGTGGTCATGGTGCTGAGAGCCCGAGAGGAGAGGGACGGCTGGGGTTCAGAGAGGATGCTGGAGGAGGCGGATGGAGGCAGAGTGGATGCAATGCTCACTCAGGACTGTCCGGCCATCTGATTACGGTATATAAAGACATAAGGGCTTGGCATGGAGCCATGCAGAGAGGAGCCATCCACCAATCCTGTTCCAGTCCATCCCAACTCCATCAGGAGTGCCCCCCTCCACCCTCCTGTGAGCTGAACTAAGCCTCATTACCTGCTGCAGCAGTTTTTTTCCTTTCATATTTTAAAAGGTGGTTTATTTTGGTCTTCTCCTCCTCTTATTTACTGCTTATTCTAAAGCCAAAGAAAATTCCTTCATGAATGAAGAAAAATACTTTTTATGGATGTGAAAGAAATACATTTTCACACTGATGAACTCAAAAGAAAAAATTCTTAAAATACTCCTTAATACTCATTTCCTATATTGGAGCTTGCCTCAGAAATTCCTTCATGCTGCTACTTTTTTGAACTTTTATAATTTGATAAGTGCTTATACTTAAGTTGTGTGATGCAGAATTTGCTGTTATAGCCCGTCTGATAAGATCTGGGCTTATAATTGCTGCATGCACTTTATGATTGTCCAATAATGTGTGACTTTATTTTAAAATTGCTGTTGCCCTGAAACTAATCCCACTTTTTCAGAAGAAAAAAAAGCCTCTTTGCACTCGTATTAAATCCTCTTGTTGCTGTTTCATCAACCTTTTGAAAAATGCAAATCTGACTCACACTCCAGCTGGCATAAAAGGTTTAAAGAATGTCAGCAATCATCTCACTCCTACTCATTTCTCTGTTAACCACAGGATTTCCAAGGGAAAAATGTTTAGGCTGCACAGCACAAGAGAATGTATGAGAAGCATGAGTGGCAGTTTCTCCACTTTAGGTGGGAGTTTGGTGTGGCATCATGCCGCAGAGCATCAACTAATGCGTTCTCATGCAGGGTTGTAGTGCAGGATGGATGCAAAGGCATAGGATACCCCACAGTTGTGCAGGAGGGAGTTAAAAAGAGAAGAAAATCCCTGAAAGACCTTGTACCCTGCTGTGATATTTTTCACCCACTTTGTATCAACAGAAAGATTTGGAAAAGAAGCCAAAAGAAGCATCCCAGGACAAATGACCCCATCTCAAACTTTTGTTTCAACTCGAGCGAAGTTCCGCCATAATGCTGCTGGTTTTCCCTGCCAGGAGGGGAAGGGGAGCGGAGGGGGGGCTGGAAGTCCACAGTGAGGACAATGTGGGGAGGGTGGGGCTTGGCACTAGTGTTCACCCATCATGCCATTCCACTCCCTGGACACTCAACTGTGCAAAGCACTGTTCCAACACTGTAATTTGGACTAAAAATATTGGACTTTCTTTCCTCCTTCCTTTTTTGTAAATACTGTGGCTACCTTTTTTTCGATCTTGCGGCTCACCAGAATGGTCGTTTGCCCCTATCAAAGTGTACATGTGCCGAGCCTCTCGCTGACTTGTGCTCAGATGTCCTGGTTTTTAACTTTGTATTAAAGCATTAATTTAAAAAAATCAACAGAAATATCCTGTTGGAAACATCAACTTTTTCATTTTTGAGTTCAATTAAAACCTCTTTAAAGTGTGTCCAGACAGATCCTAGACAGGGGCAGTCCTGGGCCAGTGCCACCCTGACAGCAAGCTTGGAGCCCCCTGCTGAGGGCAATTCCTAAGCACTAATGAAGAAGTTCACAATGAAATGTTTGATATTTGTTCTTTTTGAAATACAATCGGTCGATCTATTTTCACATGCATGTGGAACGTAAAAACAGTCTTCTAGCACTACTTCCTGCATTGGCTGCCGATAGAAAAAAAACCACATCTCAGAATCAGAATCAGAAAAAGGTTTATTGCCAATGTCAGTGAACAAACAATTCACAAACTAGGAACTTGCTTCGGTACTAACGTGCTACATATAACATGAATAATATAATTAAAAATAGAATAAAGTAGAATAAAGTAGAATAAAATATAATAAACTAGCATAAAGCTTTGCTATAAAAAAGGCAGGTAATGGTAATATGGCCGATAACGTGACGTTATGTCAAGTACAGAAGACGAGCATGGTTGTGTGTTTATAAGCTGTTCACAAGTCTAACGGCAGATGGAGAGAAGCTGTTCTTCAATCTATCTCCCATTGTCAAGTTGCATTCATGGATGCACCCATTTTAGCTCAAGAATGCGGAAGGTTGTGTTGACTGTTGAAGCCAGGAGAGAGCAGAGCATGTCTCAGCTAGTAGAAGCTAACTGTTAGTGTTAGCAACTTCACAACATAGCAGAATTATTTCAGGCTACAGTTACTTGTGGAGATAAAACATCAGTATTGTAATGCAAACTGAGGCAGTGGAAAAGTTGCATTACTGCTAGCCAATCAGAGGCGAGATGTCCGTCTCTCATCAATAATAATAATAATAATAATAATAATGCATTGAACTTATATAGCACTTTTCTAGACACCCATAGACGCTTTCACACACTCACATTCACACACTGCTAGTGATGGGAAGCTACTTGTAGCCACAGCCGCCCTGGGGAGTTCTGACAGAGGCGAGGCTGCCATTTGGTGCCGTCGGCCCCTCTGACCACCACTAACACAGGCAAGTTGGGTGAAGTGTCTTGCCCAAGGACACAACAGCAGGATCCCCTGGCAGGAGCTGGAATCGAACCCATGATCATGAGGCAACCCGCTCTACCACCTGAGCTACTGCTGCCCCAAATAATGAGCAAAGACTCCAAATTTCGGCCCCCTACTTCCTGAAACAGAAATAACTCACAAGGCATTCGTTCATGTTAGAGACCACAGCAGATTTATTGAAAAAAATGGATTTTTGGTGGTCATTTAGCATAACGTGCTGAACGTCCTCTCTACGCATCCCACTCCTTGTGTTAGTCTAGAGCTGGGGTGGGGAACCCTGGTCCATGGAGGGCTGCCATCCAGCATATTTTAGTTTCAACCCTGCATCATCACACCTGATTTCAATCAACAGGTGATTACCAAGCTTCTGCAGAGCTTGATGAGCTGCAGAACAGGTGAATCAACCACTGAATCAGAAGTGTTGGAGCAAAGACATGCAGGATACCGGCCCTCGAGGACCAGGGTTCCCCACTCCTGGCCTAGAGCCTCTCTTTACCCCGGAGTGTAATGCTGCAATAAATATTTTAAAATGTGCAGCATTTAGACACCAGTAATCCATTTAAGCTCACTGACTGCTTCTGTTATGAATCATTCATGAGTTAGTCTTTATTACACACACCTAGATGCCAATTTTGCAAAGAGGTGTGATGTCTCTTAAAATAAAAGGCAGCAAATTTTCTAAGGAAACAATGTAGAAATGGATTTCCTCACAGGTAATGTAAGGACGGGATCAGTTAAATGTTGTAAGATGTTTAAACACGCACATTTGTGAATCTGTAGGGCTATTTCGGTCTAGGACATGACGCAGCACATTACACACACTGTGTTGAACAAGAGTCCATTTCAAGGTTTGGTATTTCATTTCAAGTTAACTGAAACCGTAAAGCACGAGAACGGACCCCAGCTTTGTAATCTACACTCTGCTATATATCATTAATATGCTGCAATGTTGCCCTCAGGAATGCCATGTTTGTGGGTGTCCTATCCCTACAAGTCCATTGAAGAGGCCCAAACCTTGTCATTACAATTCCAGTGATAATGACAGCTTTGAAAAAGCTCAGGGTTATTTCAGTTTTCTCTCCTTACTGTCATAGCAATTACCTTTAAATTTAGTCTTCAAACTCTCGTCACGATGCCAGAGGTCTGTGCGACCCTATAGGACTCCGTTTACAGTAGCTACACCCAACACGCTTGCAATTTTTTTTTTCTTTGATAAATAATCAGCTCTGGACACTCGGGCTCCTGCTTGCAAAAAGCTGAAAAAGATGATGGAGAAAACGCAGCGGTTAGAGTTTGAATTATAACCTGCCTTTACATTGTTTCTGTTGGACGGGCTTCTTTAAAGATGTAAGCCAAACAGCATCGACGCCGATCTCAGTGGTTTTCCCATCACTTCAACAGAAAACAACGGCCAGGATGGCAATGGAAGAACACACAGTTCTTTTCAGGACAACATGAACAATACTGCTGACAGGAGCCAAATGTACCTCATGTCATCTTGTGGGAAGAGATCATGTGCAAACAGATCCTGTGTGATAGAGTCCAGCGTGAGAAAACTGTAATTACAAGAAAAGTGACATGCACAGTCAGTCCTGAGAACATGCATCTGAGTCCCACGGTTCACAAGCATTGGTTTATTGGTTCATCTATGTTTTTTTAATACACAAATATGTCAATTTTTTTATTTTAGTTATGCACCAAAAACATTTGGGTTTGACATCAAAAAATGTGGAAAGATTTTCATTTAAAACGTTTATTTGCAGGTCTTTTCTTCTCGAATATAACAAAAACAAAGAATCTAGCGCAATTTGTGTCAAACCAGCAGTTGAAGTCAAATGCCAGACATATAATTTACTCATTAAAGAGGACATTCAAGGAAGAAATCCCCCAAAACAAACAACTCAATTAAGGGATTGTGATCAAAGCCTGTAAAAAAAGCACAGACAAAAGAAAACTGCAAAATGGTGATGATGTCATTGGTCCACAGGCTTGGGAGTTTGAGATTTTCAAATACTTACTTTATCTGTATTATGGCTCACCAAAATATTCTGCTAGGCTCCAGGTTTTATAGCTATTTATTTTTTAAATTTAACAAAAAAAATTAAATCTAGTAATCCTTATTGATGCTTTTGTTGTTTTTAGAATATTTTTTAATCTCTGTTCATGTTTTGTTGTGGTAGTATGTGGGTGCAATTAGATATTTGAATTTCCTCTTTCTCTCTTGTATCATCATCATCATCATCATCATCACCACCACCACCAATCTTCTAGTTGTGACAAATTTATTTGTAAATACTTGCAAAACAAAGCTGGAAAATTACATTGGCTCTTTTCATAAACATTTCTAGGTTTTCAATGTGTAACAAAAATAATGTTTTTGGTGTATTGCATAAGTTTTAGAGGTCTAACGCATAAATAACCAACATTTAATTTTAAAACATCTTAAAAAGTTAATTTTGCTGATTTATAAATGGAGGTGATATTTTTTTCTATTACAATTAAATAGACCTTAGTTTAAATTTGTACCGACATCAAGAAACATTTTTGGCAAAGCATGGGTCAGCTCATTTATCATGCGTCTCCATGGTGACGGTCCAAACAAACACTGACAGCTCCCTCAGCTCGGTACCGTCACCGTCTAACCTCAGGTTTTTGTCACCTGCGGAGATGCCGACAATTAAAGCCTCCAAAACGAAGCGCGTGAAAGGCGGGTAAGGTTAGGCGTGTTTGCTGCGTTCACGTGTAATCTGAAATTCAAGATTTAGCCCTGATGTAATATTTTGTCACAGGAAAGGAAAGAAAAATGGGAAACGTGTGTCAAAACCTGAGCGGGAAACGGACGTGGAGACGGCGAGGGCCAACGCCGCTCTGTGGGAGCTGAAGTTAAAGGTCACTGACCAGGACCTGGCCGAATGCCGGGAGGCCCACTTCAGTCTGGCGTGCCTGAATGAGCGGCTCACCAACAAGCTGCACCGCTCTGAGGAGGACTCCATGGACATGAGCCGCTACTGGCAGAGAAAAGTAGAAGAACACGAGCAAGAGGTTAGCAGAACATTTTAGGAGTCTAAATGTGCAAAAATAATCTCCTATTAAAAAACTGACCTTGACCAACAGTTTTTTTTTACCTATTTAAATTATTTAAAGGGGACATATTGTGACTTTATTCTTGAGTTATAGCTCAATGGTCGATATACAAAACAAGTTTATGAAGCTCTTTGCACTAAACAGTTTTATTCTTGACAGTCATCGTTACTTTCCATAATGAGCTATTTTAATGCAAAAAGGCAGCCAGCTCTCATAAGCTAAGAAGCTCTGATATCTGGGAGGGGCTCGAAGTATTCTGGCTCTGCTGCCATAAAGAAGAAAATTTGGGGGTCTGTTAATCATAAAAAATATATATTTTAAATCATTTTACTGCATAACAATACAACAATAATAAGCAAATAAAACTGTCATTACCACATGCAATGCTTAAGTGCTCCTTCAGGGGGCAGAAAACATATCTAAAGTTTTTTATTGTAGGTTTTTAAATGAATACTTTGCATTTTTGACTTGCTTTTACCCCCCCCACCCCCCCCCCCCCCCCCCCCGAGTTCGTCTTTTTAACACCTTAATCTGACAGCTGAAACATCTTCTCAGCCTTCATTAGTGTCTACAGGAGTGGCTGATCACTAAATCAAACCAGTCCGCTGTGTTCACGATCTAAAACGTGCAGGAAATGTGAAGTTGCAAGTGTGATATTCTGGCCACATTAACCCTGCAAAATGTCATTTTAGCACATACTGGCTTAAGAAAATTTTTTAACAATATGAAAAGATTGCAGAGTAAGCTTTTAAGGAAATCGTTAGTCCTGTTAAGGAGGTAGAGCTCATCTAAATCTAGAATTAGTTATGTCAAACAAACGTGATCCATTTGTGCTTTTTGTCATGTGCTTTTTACCATTTTCAGTCAAATGTACCTCTTAACAGGTCAGGAACCTGATGGAAGACATGAAAAGACAAGAGGAACTCGCACTTAATGAGAAAAACAAAATGGTAAGACTTCTCACTAAAATTACAAATGCAATCAATCTAAACACCCAAAGAAGACTTTTTAAAAAAGTACTCAATTGTTTTAGCAATGGAGGGGGAAAGGGTCAAACTGACCAACGTTATGATGAACAGGAAACAAATATCACGTGAAGTTTGACATGCTGGTGGAAATAAAAGTCATGCGATCTGTTTCACCTTCTATTATTTATCATGTGACCACCTAAGAAATGACACAATTTATGTCCATTTCACATAATCTTGTTTTATTTAGACTTTTTCAGTATTATGGTGTATTAAATTCACTGGACTTTGAAAAAATAATTATTTATAAATAATGGAAAATCAAAACAAAAATGCTGGGATGTGTATTTTTTATTCATCTAGCATGTCAGAAATGTGCTGCGCTGTCTCCTAGCAGCTGTCTTGTATGTAATTATGTTGGCATTCATTGTGTAAAAAAACAACAACAACCAAACAAAGCCACAATAAAAATCAAATAAAAAACTAAAGCAAACAAAGCCTCACATTCCAAGTTACGTGGTCTAATGTTATTTTTATCAGCAGACACAGAGAAAAAGCATAATTTCAAAGAGTTCGATAGGGAGAAGACAGTCACTCTGCTGGTCCTGATGTGTTAACCAGTTTTCACTCAGATCTTCGGTCTAGAAGGCCCCTTTTGGGTTATATAACACACACCAAAGGAACTTTGCGGACTCATATCCTCGCTGAACTCTCGTTCCCATAGTTCAACCTTTTTAAACTTGCATGACAAAGTCGAGAGCCAAAAAAGGTGCAGAAAACCCTTTTAGCTCCTTTTTGCTGGCAGCTGTTTTCCATCCTTCAGCCTTTACTTTGTGACAGTAAAACTGAGCTTTTCAGGATGAAACAGTGGGCATGCATTGGTGTGGACCAAGTTGAAACAACCTTTTTACAGATGTGTATGGACACCAGTTGCAAAAGCAGCTCTGAAAAGTTCATGGTGATAAAAATGTGAATGGCTGCAACTGAATAATTAGTGTATGCAGAAACAGTACGAGGGAGTTGCAGGCCTTGCTGATCACTTTTAACGCTAAAGTGGAGGATATTTTTGGAAACCTTAACCCTGTGATAAAGGTCGCACATGGCGAAAATTAAAAGATGCAAACCGACCCGCGTAAATCCTGCAGCGCTGATGCAGAGGAGCGTTTATGGAGTTATCTGAAGAATAACGATTAGGCTGAAACTTGTAATCAGATGGTTGATGACCTCTCATTTAGTCGTCATGTCCATGTTTGTGGGTGCGTGTGTTTCTAGTCTTTCATGATTTTGGTCACTTTGTCACATTTTCGCCCAGACTGGCTTTTCCACGGTAGCGCCTTAAGACATTTAAGATGATTGATCTGGGAGTAAGTTTAAAAACCCTTGTGAACTCTGACTCAAGTTCACAAGCTGCATTTTCATGTTGTTTTTTGTTTATTTGCGTGAAGGCTCAAGACATCAGAATGATCCAGGACAAAGTGAAGGACCTGAAGGAAATAAAAGCCCAGCTGGAGCAGGAACTCAGTGACGTGAGGAGGCAGAAAACTAACCAAACATCTTCGGTTGTGAGTATTCTCAGTGTGCAACTAACGATCATGTTTATTTCTTTTGTAGATGAGAGAAAGCATGGATGCTGCTGACAAAAATCACAGAGAAAACATTTGTAAAATTGAGGACAACCACCTAAACGGAATGGTATCGAATCTCAAGGCTCAGGACCTTAAAAGCATGATAAATATATATTTTGGCAAAGCTGATTTCAGGTTGCCTTTGCAGGAGAACCTAAAGAGGGAAGTGGAGAAGCGATCTAATCTGGAGATAGCAAAGTTAAAGCTGGACCACCATGAATCGGTTGTGTGAGTGTGTTTTCCTGGAGTGTCCCTTCTAATTTTAGCCTTTAAAAACTGCACCGTCATGCAGAACGCCAAGAAAAAATAATTGACTCACTTAAGTGTTTATGTATATAAATATATATAAACAGAGCTAATGTTATTCTTTCGACCGCACGTTGATGACGGCGTGTCTCCCACCACCGAAGAAGAGAATAAAGCATCTGTGGATGGCCGTCGTTTATTGTTTTTGAGGCCATAGGATGTGTTCTCTGCTCCAGATGCGCTAATTTTACAGCTGATGAACGTTGACACTGGTGTGGCCCCTCCGGCCTGCTGTCGTCATCGATTTTTGTTTTTTAAACACAAAAGTCAAACAAACAAATCTAATAGATCAGGTGTTTTTGAGGAAAAGCAAATCATGAGCCGTCTTTACCGACTGTCATAAAAATATGATAGGACTCGTACACACGTGCATAGACAGAGACTAACTTCTTCTTTTGTTGTTGTTCTTTAAGCCGGTTGGAAAATGCTTTCCGTTCAGCATCCAAGGAAAACCATCGCTTAAGTGAAATGTTAAAAAACACCACAAAGGAGGCCGAGGACCTGAAGAAATTGACACATTCACTTTCTGAGAAAAACACCACGCTGGCGCTGGAGAAGGTACGTTTGAACCAAAAGACAGCAAACACCAGCGTAGATCTCCATAAAGACACTTGTTAGATCTGTGCAGAGTGTATTTCAGGTGGTTTTTCCCTCGTGTTGTTTACCTGTGCTGACCCTGTGTATTTTGCTTGTGGTCCCCTCAAACACCCACCCACCCCACCAAGCTCCTGAACTCTCTCCAGCTTCTCAGCGGTGCGTGGTCGCGGCCAGTTTCCACCGGTGTCTGGGCTGAAATTCAGTGGCTAATACTTTTTACCGTTAACTGGCACTGATTTGTCAAGAAAAATAAACTTTTATGCACATTAATCTCGCCTCTGAGGATGACAGCAAAATCACGAGAGTCAGATCCGCTCTGCTGGGACATTCTGGCCTCTTACTCAGCAGTCTGAGTTAGGAAACAAATAATTATCTGTTCTACCTCCAGGGGAGGTTCAAGACCAACATTGGGGGGGTGGGCAGGCTGGGGCCAGCGGCTCTGTTAGAGAGGCACCTTGGTAAGGAAACACTACAAACATTGCTTTTATGTATTCAAATGTTTGTGTGTTGTTACAACAGTATAAGAATTTAGTTACAGTTGTTTAAGATACAATAGTAAATAGTAAAAATAGTAAAATACACTTTGATTTCTTAGTTCTTTCTTATCTTTTTGTTCACGAGTGAGGGAAAGATGGAGCGTGAGATCGACAGGTGGAATGGTGCTGCGTCTGCAGTGATGCGAGCGTTGTACCGGTCTGTCATGGTGACAAGAGAGCTGAGCCGGAAGGCGAAGCTCTGGATTTACCCGTTGATCTACGTTCCTACCCTCATCTATGGTCACGAGCTTTGGGTAGTTACCTAAAGAATGAGGTCTTAGATACAAGCGGCCAAAATGAGTTTCTCCACAGGGCATCTGGTCTCTCTCTTAGAGATAGGGTGAGCTTGGTCATCCGGGAGGGGCTCGGTGTAGATCAGCTGCTCCTCTACGTTGAGAGGAGCCAATTGAGGTGGCTCAGGTATCTGGTGAGGATGCTTCCTTGACACCTCTCTGGTGAGGTTTTCCAGGTACATCCAACCAGGAGGACCTTAAGGAAGACCCAGGTCATGCTGGAGGGACTAATGTTCCTCAGCGAGCTAGGGAACACCTTGGGATTCCCCCAGAGGAATGTGGCTGGGGAGAGGAACCCCAGATCAGCAGACGTTAATGGATGGGTGGATGGATATCTTAGTTATCCATCTAATTAACAAGTGGAAAGTATTTGTCTCTCTTTTCAAATTCATTCACATGCTTTGATTGCTTATCTCACATTACCAGGCCTTTGCACCGGACTCATAAGCGTTGCATAAAGTCCGGGAAAAGCGTGGCATGCAGCAGTTAGGCGCTATTATAGTGGATGGGTGCGTTTCCATCGACCGCGAAGCGTCGCATTTTGTGTAGTGTTGTGTTGTTCTGCTAAATTTATGCTTCAAGGTTGTTGTTTTTTTTTACACTTCCAGAACTCGTCAAGCTCAGCTTTTCAGATTGGAACAGACAGGAAGTAAAACACAAAATTTGTGAAAAACATCCAGAAGCTTTCAAAATAAAAGCCACACGCAGATTTCAAGTCGCTTAATAAGTAAAAAAAAAAAAAAAAAAGGACTTCATTTCCTGTTAAACCTCTGTAGCTGAGTTAAACAGAACAGAAAATAAGCCATGGACCTTTTTGGATACATGCAGCCATCATCTTGCTTGTTTTTGCGTTAACTGCTGAAATTGTGTCTTGTGATTCTTTGTTGATTTTTTTGACCTCACGGGCCTAACTGAGTGGAATGCTTTGCTGCTGTTTCTCATCTGAAACGCTAACAATAGGAAGGGACACTCTGCTGAGCTTGTGGGTAAAACACATCTATTACTTTACATACAGCTTACATACAGACCCTGTCAGGCTAAAGTTATTGTAAAAAATCCAAAATGATGCCCTCAGCAGGGTGGCCACAGTGGGGTCCAAGCTTGTCGTCAGAGTTGCACTGACCCACCCTAGAACCGCCCCTGTTAACCTCCTCATAAGGAAAATGGAAGCTCTGTGCCACTGGTTTGTATCTTCTCTCATGCCTCCTTTGCCCAGGACATGCTTGATTTGACAGTGAGGAAGAACAGAGCAGAGATGGAGGCCTTGATGAAGAAGCTTTCTGAACTCAAAGCCAGAAGTGCTTCTCTGGAGCAAACCGTGGTGCAAACAGAGGTGAAACTTGAACACCAGGAGAAGAAGGAGAGGAAGAACCTGGTCACCATCCAGGCCAGCCAGGTAGAGTTGGACAAGCTGCAGAATGTCCTCCTTATGCGAGAGAACGAGATAAAGCACGTGAAGCAGCTGGCCGGCACCATTGTGACGAGGCGCAGGGAGGTGGAGAGGTTCTTTCACGAGGCGCTGGATCACGTCAGGGAGGAGATAGTTTCCAGAAAGCTTCAGTACAAGAAGGAGGCCTTGCAGGATTATCAGTGGAAGTTAAAAGAAGCTACAGCAGGAAAAATAAAGTTCCCGCCCATTCGCACCTTCAATAATAACCCCAACAGTACAAACTCTGTCTATACAAGCAAGGAGGAAGCTGTTAAATGGTATATCCACTTTACATTTCAATCTTTGTTTTTCCTGGCTGATAAAGTTGTCAAATTAAATAGGTTTTGTCTTATTCCTGCTGTCTGAAGGCCTTGTCCTCAAGGGAGCGAAGTTCAAATCTCAGATCTCAGCTGGGAGCAGAAGGAACAAGTTCTCATGCTTCTCTTTGCTAAAATGAATGGACAGACGGAAAGGTAATAAAGCAGCCCCCCCCCCCCCCCCCCCCCCAAAAAAAAAGTGGCTTGTGTGTGTGACTTGGCAAAAACTGTTTTGCTTACAGACTACATCCTAGAAATGGCATTAAAGTTCACTTGTAATCCCTTAAAATGAGCAGAAACTTCTGCATCAATTAACTCTGAAGAACAAAGTGCAGTGACACCATGCAGTTAGCTCACTTTGAGACGGCTGACTCCTCCCTCTTTTTAATGTTTTAAACAGCCATTTTCTCGGCAGATGAGGATACCATAAAACATAAGTTAGGCTTTGACCAATTTTCTTTTCCATCCAGCTGCTTAAAAAGAATGAAGAAAGGAGTCTGGGCACAACAGTAAAAATAGGCCCCGCCGCAGAGTCGTGTGCTTGGAAACAAACATCTGGTCACGTCAATTTTCTTTCAGCTTATTGATGCCTCTTCACGTGCACAAGCATTTATTTTGTTCTTTGAACGCTTGTGGTCAAAGAGCAGCTGGTAACATGATTTTCAGAGGGCAGCGTGCAGGGGATCTGGACGAATGGGACGAAGCAGGGGAAAGGAGAGGTATATTCATGTTAGACGTGGTCTGGCGTCAAGTCGAGCAGAAAAAACATGACGTTTGGCAAGTTAGGGCAATCAGTTATGCAGCGTCCAAATCTGGTTCTGTTAACCCAAAGTAACCCCTTTAGGCCATGCTGCAAGCCAGAGTCTATTTAACTGTTTTTTCCCCCCTGACAGGAAAAGCGTCCAGCATCTGGTACGTCCTCTGAGGAGCAGAAGGACCGCTGCTGACACCGACACTGCAGAAAAGAATGCACCAGAATAAAAAAGCCTGCCTCATCCTTACAATTTAGAGGCCTTTGCAGATTTATCGGTCCCACGTGTTTAGCTGCAAGAGCGTCAGTGCCTACTTGTGATTTATCAACAAGCGTTGCATAATGAGGACTGTCTTCTAGAATTAGAGAGGATTGCACCCCCCCTAGGCGCCTGAGTCCATTCTGCCCTCAACCTCAAACAGCCTGTCGGATCTGAACCACACCACATAACCTCTGTATCTGTGTGCTTCCTAAAGAGCTAAATCTAAGCTGAGTGCTTGTAATTATTTGTTTTATAGCGATGCAAGTAAAGGGTTATATATATCGACTGTTTAACTGAAAATTTATATGCAAACATTTATTGTATTTCTTTTGAGGTGCAATTCAAACTCCGACTGCTCGGCCGGTGGCAGCAGTTTTTACCCTCATTCTGACAGAGTGAGATCTTGCGATAACGTGAATGTGTGTTGGAAGCGTCTGGCCTGAGTTTTCCAATTAAATTCAGTCCTTAAAACAAAGTTCATTCATTTTATCAACACATTTGCATTTGGTCACTAGTATAAATTAATGCCTTTTGAGACGATCGCTGTTGGGAAAAAATCTCTTAACACCCGTTTCAGGAGGTAGAAGTCAGTCAGTTGAAAGATGGCAGGATCTGGAGTCTTACTGGAAAACAGCAACTCTACCACTTATTGTGTTTGCTTTGCAACACTGATGTTTTATCTCCACAAATAATACAAGCCTGAAGGAGTTCTGCCATGTTGTGGAGTTGCTCATGCTAGCGGCTAGCTTCTACTTGCTGAGACGTGCTCTATTCTCTCCCAGATGCTAAATCAACAGCCTTTCCCATCGTGAGCCAAGATGCAATTGACAAGCTTATCTAATCTAATCTAATTTTGCCCTTCTATTTTCTGTTGCTGGCTAATGCAGGAAATAGGGGTACAAGTTTCATGTTTAGCCTCATTTTTCAAAAATAAGTGAAAACTGTTTCTCAGTGAACTTGGTCTTTAAAGAGCAAGTCACTCCCTACCAGATTATTACTCCGCTCCCACTTCCTGTTTGAAAAATGCAACAAATGCTGTTGCCTAGCAGACCGAGGCACACACGCGCAGGCTCACAACAACATTGTGACATCATATGGTACCAGCTAACATTCTAGGGTACCTCTTAGCCAATAGTGCTGGCAGATTTAAATTCAAATGCAGTGCAGAGTTTTTACCTGACAATGGCACAACACTGACAGTTTTAGGCAGAAAATTCAAATTTTAACTAAAATGCACTAAAGTACAAAACTATTGACTACAAGTGTCTGCAGCACAATTAGACATGCATTTATATAGTTTATCAGAAAAAAAGTTGATTTGGGGGTGACTCGCTCTTCAAAAATTGCCAGTACCCTCAGGCTTTTAGTATTCCGGTGCATCGTATCACCAGATTCTTGCCCATACACACCCCTAATGCTTCACCATGCAGTCATACTCAATGTTCATATTTGTGCTTGATGAATAAAGAGCTTGTTTGAGTTTAATTTAAATGGTTGTTATTTCATTCAAACATGTAATTATACAGATCAATAATGTGTGTTTGTTTTTGGGAATTACACACAGAAATCCTCACAAGATTGTTATTGTGGGTGTATTTTAAAATGTTGTTAACAGACATTCACAAAGCGTCTTTATACACTAAAAAGTGCTATTATTCTAACGTTTGAATTTACAACATTCATACAGCATATACTGTAAGTCTGTTTGTGCAGGAAGTCACATCAGAGGAAGAGTTTAGCGTCCCATTGTTGGCATGGTAACCGCAGGACTTTTCACGGTTGCATCTTCAGCTTTCCATTGCGTGGTGACGGTTTTGATCTGTGTGTAAAACTGAATCCCCTGGAAGAATGCAGAAACAGGATTAAAATCAAACTTGAACCGGATTTCACGTTTTAAAAAGTGTTTATTTAGTTTCCTACCTGTTTCCCGTAGAAGTTCGTGTCCCCTCTGAACGATCCTCTGGACCCAGTGAAGGAGAACATGGGCAGCGGCACAGGAATGGGTACGTTGACTCCGACCTGCATAAAAAAAACAACAAAAAAAAAACAATCGTCCTTTTCAGTTCCCTAAGTGGACGTTATTTAAAAGAATTCCAAGAACCCGCATCGCCAGGATGAGCGAGATGCAGCTGATGAAAGACGTGGCGCGTCCCCACGCCGTTTATAAAACAAGCTTACATGATCGCAACAAACAAAGCTAAACCTGCGGCTTGTGTCTGCTGTTTTGGTAGCGAGGCACGCTCTTATTAGAGGGAGGAAAAACTAAATAAAACATTTTGTTTGGGAAACCGTAGCACAACGGTCGGTTCTGAATGTTTGAAACAGCGGGAGTAGGTTTGGACTCGCTGAGGCCTTTTGGCGAAGGATGGGATGGACGAGAAAAAAAGAAAGATGTTGGTAGCAGAGGTTTGGAGAGGAGCACAGCACATGGCCAGCACAACATTCCCCGACATGTGAACAGCAAACACAGGGCATAACTAGGCTCCACAGGCAAACAAACAGCCAGCAGGACGGCTGTTTTTATGCATAACTGAACACAAACCTAGGAATCCCTATTGAGGTTTAATTCCAGATTTCCATTCCTTTAATACAACCTGGAAAAACGCATCCATGCCCTCCTTGTTTTTTAGAACAGACACATATTTGTTTATCTATTCCGAGTCTCGGAGGGAGGGGAAGTGGAAAGGACAGGGTTGATCCCGGTGTGTATTTTAGGTGAGAAGCAAACAAGCAGATACGTGACGTGGAAAAAAAAATCTTTTTTTTTTTTTAAATATGTGCAGATTTTCAAACCCAAACGTGATGTGCTCCCGGCTCGAGATGCTGCGCAGACATGACAGGGGCATGTGAATGCCTCCTTTCTCCCAAAACAGAGGAGCACATTTGGAGGACGCGGCCGCTCACCTGGCCCACGTCCACTTCGTGAGTGTATTTGCGTGCCGTGGCACCATTTGTGGTGAAGATGGCGGTGCCGTTGCCATAGGGGTTGTTGTTGACCAAGCTGATGGCGTCATCGAGGGTGTCTGCCTCCAGAACGACCAGCACCGGCCCGAAGATCTCTTCGGTGTAGCATTTCATCTCGGGCTGTGGGAGCGCAAGAATCACTTTGATAATGATTCTCAGACAAAATCAGGTGTTTTCTTCTTAAAGGAACATAAGTACACATACTGTGACGCCGCTGATGATGGTTGGGCCTACAAAGTTGCCGTTCTCGTAACCTTTGACCTTTACGGCGCGGCCGTCCAGGAGGAGTTTAGCTCCTTCGTCCACACCGCTCTGGATCAGACTGCAGACTCTCTGTTTGGCTTGTGGGGAGATCAGAGGCCCCACGTCTGCTCCAGGCTGGTCTCCTGAAGGGGCCCCAGAAACAACCAGGTGTAATGTTACAAACCACAAACGCTCCACAGCCAGGACAAGGAGTACCCTGAGGCACTCCCTCCTAAATGGATACTTGCGGCTTTCCTGTGAAGAACACAAATTTACTGTAACTCTACATATCCGCTTTCCATTTTACTTCACATCAGCTTCTTTCTCAGAAGGAGCTGATGGTCAAAAACCGCCATTTAGGTCCGGACCGCAGATCTGGCCGCATATTTGCAGCATGACTGACTCAACAAGCCCTCGCTTCCAGCTGACTCCCAAACACAGAACACAAGGCGTGAGCTGAGGTGAGGTTACGGCGGCGTGGGTGGCCCCTGAAACCAAAAGGGGGGGGGGCCCCTCGGGAACGCTGGGCTCGGGGAATCTAGAGGTGAAAGGCGGGGAGACGGGTGTGGTACCTGCGTTCACCCGGAGCATCTTGGCACGCTCCACGAGCTCCGGTAGCCAGCTTCGCGCTTCACCCACCAGGATGGCCGTGGACAGAGCCATGCAGCGCTGTCCTGCCGCCCCAAACGCGGCGCCCACAAGCTGGTTCAGAGTGTTCTCCTTGTTGGCATCGGGCATCACCACACCATGGTTCTTGGCTCCCTGAAGCACACAGAAACAGATTAGTGTTTTAAAATGAGGCCTCTGGTTAAGTCACACACAGGGACATTTTAAACAAACAGCAGATACATTTAGACACATCAAATGTTGGTTCGTGTCAGGACGAATTAAATGATGACCTGGTTCATAAATTCTTGCTTGACATGTTGTAATTTAGGAGGTCAAAGAAACAACAATCTACTGGGGAATGCTGCCACCTTGTGGGCACTTACAGTAAATCTCCTTATATACACACTCACCATGTTGGACTGCACCCTTTTGCCATTTTTACACCCCCTCTCATAAATGTACTCCCCAGCTTGATTTGAGCCCACAAAGCTGATGGCCTTGATGGCTGGATGGTCACAGATGAAGTTCACAGCTGGAAAATTAAAGGCACAGAACTGAATCACCTTGTTTACCAAAATGCCCAAATATCAGTCAGAGCTGCTCTTTCTCATCCTAATTCAACAAACCAGCTCTCACCAGCGTGCTGCCCGTGGATGACGTTCAGGGTCCCGTCTGGAGCGCCAGCATCCTGCAGCATCTTCGCCAGCAGCATGGCGCAGCTTGGAACCCGCTCCGACGGCTTCAGCAGGTACGTGTTGCCACACACCATCCCCATAGGGAACATCCACAGGGGAATCATGGCGGGGAAGTTGAAGGGGGTGATGCCGGCGCACACCCCGATGGGAAGGCGGTAGGTGTGAGTGTCCATGTCCTTGGTGAGGGAGGGCAGAGTTTCACCGAGCATTAAGGAGGTGATGCTGCAGGTGTGTTCCACAACCTCTGTGGGAAATGATCAAAATTAAAAAAAGAGCCAAAGAACGAAAACGTATGTCTGTGCTGAAATATAATAAAATCTCACGCAGTCCTCTAAACACGTCTCCTTCTGCATCTGCAAGTGTTTTCCCCTGTTCTAGTGTGATGGACTTGGCGAGTTCTTTCTGAAAAACCCAAAAGAGCAACAAGTTTTCAGCTCGAGGATCAATCAGAAACCGTTTCCTGTCTGAATCCTTGACGTACAATGTTGTCCTTGATCAGCTGCTGATAGCGCAGGAAGATCTGCTGGCGAGCCAAGATGGAAGTTTCTGACCAGGACCGAAAGGTTCTGGAGCATGAGTCTACAGCGGCCAGCATCTCCTCCTGGGTGGCTTTGGGTACACGAGCAACCACTTCATTGGTAGCCTGCAGGCAGACCAAAACAAGTCCGAATGAGCACATTTCATGTAAAACAGTAAAGATAAAGCTGATTTAGTTAGCCCAGACTTTGGTGGCTGAGAAGTAAAGACACATTTAACTTACAGGATTGTGAATATCAAGCCATTCTGAAGACTTGGACTCTACAAACCTCCCATCAATAAAGAGTTTAACTGTTGGCTGTGGAGAGAAAAATCATTTAATGATCTTTCAGAGAAATTTGGCATCAATTCATTATGATATTTAGGATATTTCACTCACCACCGAAGAGGAAGAGTAGCACAAACGGCCAACTTTATGTGGGATCTAACAAAGAAATGTGCATTTTCATTATTTCTCATTTAAATTAAACTAAACAGGTATGTGGATGAGATCCGCCCGGAGTTCCTTAAGGCTCTGGATGCTGTGGGGCTGTGTTGGCTGACGCAGCTCTGCAATATCGCGTGGACATCGGGGGCAGTCCCACTGGACTGGCAGGCCAGGGTGGTGGTCCCCTTATTTAAAAAGGGGGACCGCAGGGCGTGTTCCAACTACAGGGGGATCACACTCCTGAGCCTTCCTGGTAAGGTCTATTCAGGGGTTCTGGAGAGGAGGGTCCGTCGGATTGTTGAACCTCAGATTCAGGAGGAGCAATGTGGTTTTCATCCTGGCCGTGGAACCCTGGACCAGCTCTATACCCTTAGGGGGATCCTGGAGGGTGCGTGGGAATTTGCCCAACCAGTCTACATGTGTTTTGTGGATTTGAAGAAGACATTTGACCGCGTCCCTTGGGGGGCCCCGAGAGGGTACTTCGGGAGTACGGGGTACCAGGCCCTCTGATATGGGCTGTTGGGTCCCTGTATGACCGGTGTCAGAGCTTGGTCCGCATTGCCGGCAGTAAGTCGGGCTCGTTCCCAGTGAGAGTTGGACTCCGCCAAGGCTGCCCTTTGTCACCGATTCTGTTCATAACCTTTATGGACAGGATTTCTAGGCGCAGCCAAGGTGTGGAGGGCATCCATTTTGGTGGCCTGAGGATCAGGTCTCTGCTTTTTGCAGATGATGTGGTCCTGTTGGCTTCATCAGAATGTGATCTTCAGCTTTCGCTGGAGCGGTTTGCAGCCGAGTGTGAAGCAGCTGGGATGAGAATCAGCTCCTCTAAATCTGAGACCATGGTCTTGATTCAGAAAAGGGTAGAAAGCCTTCTCCGGGTCAGGGATGAGGTCCTGTCCCAAGTGGAGGAGTTCAAATATCTCGGGGTCTTGTTCACGAGTGAGGGAAAACTGGAGCGTGAGATCGATAGGTGGATTGGTGCTGCGTCTGCAGTGATGCAGGCGTTGTACCGGTCTGTCGTGGTGAAGAGAGAGCTGAGTCAGAAGGTGAAGCTCTCGATTTACCGGTCGATCTACGTTCCTACCCTCAGCTATGGTTACGAGCTTTGGGTAGTGACTGAAAGAACGAGATCGTGGATACAAGCGGCCGAAATGAGTTTTCTCCGTAGAGTGGCTGGGCTCTCCTTTAGAGACAGGGTGAGACGCTCGGTCATTCGGGAGGGGCTCGGAGTAGACCCGCTGCTCCTCCACATCGAGAGGAGTCAGTTGAGGTGGTTCGGGCATCTGGTCAGGATGCCTCCTGGACGCCTCCCTGGTGAGGTTTTCTGGCACATCCAACCGGGAGGAGACCTAAAGGTAGACCCAGGACACGGTGGAGTGACTATGTCTCTCACCTGGCCAGGGAACGCCTTGGGATTCCCCTGGAGGAGCTGGCTCAAGTGGCTGGGGAGAGGGAAGTCTGGGCCTCTTGCCTTAGGCTACTGCCCCCGCAACCCGACTCCGGATAAGTGGAAGAAAATGGATGGATGGATGTTTTCCTACAATTTATGAAATTTGCACAAATGTATCTACTTTCAGTTACAGCTGGTTGGCCAGTGAGATTAGTTCCAGGGGAGAGAGTTCCAGAGTCTGGGGGCCACAGCAGCAGATGATCTGTCACCTTTGGTCTTTAGCCTGGTGCGCTGCACAACCAGCAGGCTTTGATCACTGGACTTCAGGGACCTGCTGGGGGTGTAAGGACTGAAAAGATCACCAATGTATGATGGTGCTTGTCCAAGTAAGGCCCTAAAGACCAGAACCCGGATCTTGAAATGAATCCTGAAGTTAATTGACAGCCAATGAAGCTGGAGGGGAAGCGGGGTGATGTTGGTGTGTTTGGAGGACTTGGTCAGAGGCTGATCACAGGCATTCTGAACCACCTGTTCAGGGAGGTTTTGCTCAGACAAGTGAAAAGAGAGTTGCAGTAGACTGAGGAGATGAAGGTGTGGATAACTGTCTCAAGTTCAGAGCGGGACTCAACTATTAATGTTCCTGAGATGTAAGAAGGAAGAGCAAACGAGAGAACTGACATGAGAATCCAGGGTGAGAGCTGGGTCAAAGGTCACACCAAGATTCCTGACAGAGGGTTTGGTGTGAGAAGCATGCTGACCAAGAGAGTCTGACTTTGAGAACCAGCTTGTCTGGGGGCACAGATGTGGGGTTTCTGTGCTTAAATGCAATTACAAATTAACCTTGCTCAAACTTGCCAATCATATTTTATGTCAGTTTAATGGGCAACTTAATTTCAGTTTAGAATTAGAATTTAAGAAACAGGCAGAATTTAAATTGCATTCGAGTTGAATTACTGAGTAAAAGCAACACGATCCTGCAGCACGTGACACTCTGGAACGTCATAAACAATGGCGGATGACGTGCCTGCGCTCCAGTTCCTCGCAGACGATCAGTTTTACAGCTTACCTTAGTTTTTAGCGTTGATCGTAATGCTATAGACGCCATAGTTGAACTCTACGTGCTAGGCCGATTGAATTAGACCAGCTCTTCAGGTGCTACCCTGGTCAGAAGAAGACGTCCTGGACAAAAAAAAAATGATCCTGAGTGGGCGGGCTCTAAAGAAAAACTCGGCTGTGTTTTTAAACGCCCACAAAATCCGCTCCGTGATTGGTCAGTTTTCCCAGAAGTCTGTCCAATCACAATTTTAGATATTACGAGATCCCGCCTCAACTTTACAACAAGTCTAACGGTTGGATAAAAACGAGCTAGGCCTGGTTAGCTAGCCTGCCATCTGGATGTTATGTAACGTGGTGGACCTGAACTATGACCCAATACATAAAAAAAGCTATAGTAGCAGCTTTCTATTAGCAATTAAGAGTTATGTGTGTTTCTATTTGTTCTAGAGGTAAACAAGGACGAGTTGGCTGTTCAGTGACGAAACGAGAAGCATCTTATTTAGAAAACTGCAGCTTAAACAATGCGCTTATCGTTAGCTGGTCTTGCTAAGGTACCTATTTGCTATTTTTGTTGGCCTGGGTATGTACTACAAGTGCTTAAATGAAGTCCAGATGTTGCTTAGTCACGGACCAAAGACTAGGTAGGAGGGATATCAGGGACGTTTCCTATTGGCTGCTGGGCAAGGATGGGGATTTAAAGGAAACGAATTTATTTGCTAAAACTTTACTCTTCTTTAGTTCCTGTGATTGATCTTAAAATACTATGGCAGCCCAAACCAAGGTTAGCTCCAACTGTATGAAATAGGAATAAAGTCATCAAGTTTGATAATTAACTTTTTCCCCCTGTTTAGCCTGTTCTTCATGGATACTTCAGAAGCTCCTGTTCCTGGAGGGTTCGCATTGGTAAGTCATGAGGTTTATCAGCTTAGTTGTGTAACTAATTTGAACTGACAAGACAATCATCTTCTCTGTGCACAGCTTTTGCTCTGAAAGGCATCGAGTTTGAGCAGGTTCCAGTCAATCTAATCAAAGATGGGGGTCAGCAGGTACTACAGTATTAACACAGAGACACGTTATTTTATAGCAGTTTATTCTGACATGATCACAACTTATATTCAAAGAAATTTTCTCAGTGCATGTTGTAAGGAAGTGCATAATCAAATGGCTTGATTATAATTCAAATGTGTTGTTTTTAATTTTAATAGTCATTCTCCAAGAAGTCATTACAGGAGTGATTTAACAGCATAATCAGTGTCATGGCTATAAAAAGACTGCTAAAGAGGATTGGAAAACACTCAGCAAATTATACAATTTTGAGATTAGTTTCAAATTAAAATCAAGGATTTGCCATTTTCATTTTAAACATCTGTGCAGAACAAACAATTGAAAACCAAATAAACAGATGACACCTTTTGTTCTTTGGGCTGTTTTCTAGATGGAAAAGGAAAAATTTTCAGTTACTTTTTTCTACTTGGCATAAAAATTTACTGGAACAGCCAAACACAACAAACCAGCATCCAGATTTGTTACCCATTAATAGTTTTGCAAATCGACTAATATTTTAGTATCATATTTAGTAGTAAAGGAAATGTTAGAAAAGTATACAAAATGCATTTAAAAGTTAAAAAACAAATTCTCAATATCAGCTTACAGAACAATACAAAGCATTAAACCCCATGCAGCAAGTGCCTGCGGTGGAGATCGATGGCATCACCCTATCTCAATCAGTAAGTTTTATCACCCCATCAGGATCTTCTAACAACCCCCAACTTAAAATCTTCTGAAACATGTGATCTTGTTCATTTAGCTTGCAGTGATCCAGTACATTGATGAGACCAGACCAGGACCTCGTCTTCTACCTGGAGACCCAAAGGCACGGGCACAAGTTCGAATGATAAGTGACTTGATTGCTTCAGGGGTTCAGCCTCTGCAGGTAGATGCAAGACTTGTTTTTAGTTTGCTTCATGAAAAAAATTACAAATATTAATAATTCAGGTTGGGATGTTACAGAATCTGTACGTGCTACAGAAAATCGGAGCAGAGAAGTTGCAGTGGGCGCAGCACTTCATTGATCGAGGGTTTCAAGGTTTGTGGAAACTTGATTATGATCTTGTAACTTAACGATCGCTTCATGATTCACTTCAAGACACTCTTCCTCCAGCTTTAGAACCAATTCTGAAGCAAACGTCAGGAAAATACTGTGTAGGTGATGAGGTAAGCACATAATTATCAGATTAAAGAGATGATACACATCAGAATAATCTGTTCATTGCTATTCTTCTAGATTTCCATGGCAGATATCTGTCTAGTCCCACAAGTCTACAACGCAGAGAGGTGAGGTTTTATGAATTTTTATTAACAAACTGAACAGGAAGTGATCCTAATGACCCTGCCTAAATTCAAATGACTCAATGGTGTTTTCCATTTCTGCAGGTTTAAAGTGGACTTAAGGCAGTATCCAACGATAAAAAGATTAAACAAGACCTTACTTGAGATTGAAGCTTTTAAAGTGAGCCATCCCTCTCAGCAACCAGATACCCCTGCTGATCTCCGGGCTTAAATGGCAACAAGCTTGAGATGTTTACAGCATTTAATAAAGTGATGTGAAGGAATTCTGCCTTTTTAAAATCATTTAAAAAATAAAACCATTCAGAATATTACTTTTAATCTCACCCTCAACCTAAGAACATTTAAAGAACAAACAATGTACATGTCAAACCTCAGGAATCAGTGCTTACGGGTGCCTGAGTGACCATTAAGAATCTCACAAGTTGCTGCTTTTGATCAATTGTCTCCACTAATCTCCACAATGCACTTCGTCGTGTCATCGTAGAAAGAACCAGAACAATCGGAGCCACCCAACACCAGCAAGGTGAGCTTGGTATTCGCGTTTTCACCCTCAGAGTCAGCTAGGACGGCACAGCCCAAACTGATCACGCTGTGTCCAGCACGGGGTTTGCAGCAAAGCTGTGGAGATGCCACTGAACTCCACGTCCTGGTGTCTAATGAGAAACAAAGCAGCACCTCTTATTATGCATTACAAATGTGTAGCTTGCAAAAATACCAGAGATAGCCTAGAACTCACCAACGTTAAAGATGTGTGCATCCTGCAGAGCGCCGACTGCACTGCAGCCTCCGCTGATCAAAACCCGGTTTCCTAAAACTGGAACTGCTGCATGGAAGCTGTCCAGTTACACGTAAAGATTTTATTTATTCCACATATTCTTTAGCCAACAGTTATAGCATTTATTATTATCAGTGCTCCGATTCAACAGAAATGTTGTCCTTTCTGCTTAAGTCACAAAAATAATGAACAGATGGGATGGATGACATTTATTAAGGTTGATTAGTTCTGTACTCACCCTCGAGGCAGAGGTGGCATGTTTGCACACTTCACAGCTGTGTACTCCATCAATCCTTTGCTCAGAAGAAAACAAATGTAAATGTAACCATCACTGCTAACAGATGCACAAAGTTCTTTGTGCCACACAAAGCCACAGTATGAGTTCTTACCCAAATCTAAGACATGAAGATCATTAAGGTAGGTAGAAGTCTTCCGTCCACCAAATATGACTAATTTCTGAGCCAGAAGTGTAGCAGAGTGCCTGTTAAATAAGAACAGTGTTAGTGCTCAGATTTATTTGTCATTGAGTTTAAGATGAAGTTATTCAAACAATAGACAGACCCAAAGCGAGGCAGAGGCTTGCTCCCCTCCACAATGGGCATGTACCAGAGTTCATGCTCAGGGTTGAAGATATAAAGAGCGTTACTGCACAACTGATCTCCCTGTGGATGGCCTGGCTGGACTCCTCCAAACACATAAAGCTCTTTTTTGTAAAACACTGCCGAGTGAAATGCCAGATTTGGCACCTTCCCCTTTGTCTGGAAAGGAAAATAAAACAGCAACTAAAATATTCTTCATAATTTAAGTGTTTTTAGTCAAGATTATGTCCGAAAAACCATGTAAAACTGAGTTTACATCAATAGAGGATGTTTAAATTTTAAGAAAATTGTTTAATATACATGAGAAAATTCTCTGGCAATGCAAACATTCTTCAAATAGTTATTAGACCTTTGTAATAAGTACACCCAATGAAATAGGAAAGTTAAACTGAAAAGAAAAGGGTGCTTTTTTCTTATAAACAATTTGAAAAAAAAATTAATCCTCTAGGGAAATAGGCATTTAAAAAATGTTTTCTATAGGTCCTGTAACAATTGCAGCTCTAAACAAGTTTTATTTCAGGAGAAAACCACTCATTGGACTTTAAAGGTTGCAGACCTCTGCTCTGGTGATTCCATTATTGCTGAAAAGGTTTCTAACTTACAGTGACAAGCCTCCACTTCCAGGTCAGAGTATCAAGGATGTGCAGATCCCAGTAGCTCTGACTCTCCTTCAGGCCACCATACACATAGACCGTCTTTGAGTCAGGGTCAAAGGTTGCAGTGTGCCCTCGGGTACATGGGGGTACAGGTCCAAAAGCAGAGGAGTTCATCGGAAACCAGAGGTCACCGTCTGAAAAAGATGCCAAACAATCATTAGAATGTTGGATTTGGATCTAAAACTTTTAAAAATGCTTTTATTTTATTCAAAAAGAATTCTGGAGAACTAATCCGTCAATAAAATGTCACTGACCTAATTCAAGCTTCCAGACAGAGTCTTTGCAGTAGTTTTGTTCTGAAGTTTCCCCTCCAATCAGGATGGCTGTATCTGGATCACTCAGACACATGGTATGGCTCCAACGCTTTGACGGACATGCTGAAGCTAAACAATCTTCGATTAAAAACATTTCTACATTCAGGTGTTTACTGCAATATTACTGACGTTTGGGATTCAGACCTCCTCGGTTCTCTTTTTTGATCTGCACACATAATTCCTCTTGGCTGCTCCTCCAGGACAACTTCCTCTTCTTTGAGAACAAAGTCTCGGCTGCGTCCTCTCTCTTCGTTTGCTCAGAAGACCACGTTATGCAACCTGGCTGTGTAGTGAGTAAGGGCCTGGGTGTAGAATTCTATTCACACAGAATACATCACCAATATGTCTTTGATTCAACACAATTAGCATCCTTGTGCCTGACAACTGGCACCACCAAGGGGTGGCCACGGCCTCCCCTGGCTAAGGCCAGGTACATAACTAGCCAGGTTTTTGTAAAAGTGAGTATCCTGTCCCGCCTATTCAGGGGGAAAAAATAAATAATAATCGGGGGTATACATGGCTTCATTTTCAGCATTAAAAACATGTGCATCGTAAAGCACATTCATAGGCCTGCCAAGCATGTAGGCCGCAGTAGCTCCCCGAATGATCAGCGTCTTTGCCTTGAAACATTCCTTGGACTTTGCAACTAGGTGGTGGGTAATAACCATCCTTAACGTGATCCGCCTGTGGTCTTCTACAAAGAGCAGTAGTTGATCTTAAAAAATGGTGTAAACAATTCACACATGATGTCGGAGCATTGTCATGGGCAGTGAAATCTAAAACCAGAATTGGCAGATCTCCACCTTGGTCGTAATGTTTTTTTTTTGTTTTTTTTCTAAAGAATCGTTTCTGGTGACATTTTGCTCTTTTGATGACAGGCCAAACTGTAGAAAAATATCTTCGTGTTGTAGGATAAGCAGCTACAACCTCCCAACTCTTCCAGAGTTACCACAGAGACCAATTTGGCGTGATACCAAAATAATCTCCGCCCCCCCCATGAACGTTTTCTAGGTGTGCTAATGTGCGTGACACTCACTGTAGGCCGAGCTGCAGGATGGGGAGAGTCACTGGTTTCCAATTTGCTCTCTTGGATCTCGACACGGCTTTCCAAGCAGGAGTCGTCGTTTATCTGAAGGCGTTTGCACAAACCAAACTGAACTTCTAAATCATGGACAACTTCTACAAAACAGCCGTTTCATCTCACCGTTTCAGTTGTATGATTTATTGTGCTGGACAGGTCTGTCTTGTTGGATTCTTCTGGAAATAAACATTTCCTCTGAGCCAAAGGGGTGCTGCTGAGGACACTAGAGTCCTTAAAACACACACACACACACACACACACACACACACACACACAGCTGCAACCCTCATAACATAAAATTAAGCTTGGGTTATTTTCTAATTATTCCTACCTCTCCACAGATCTTCAGCACAATTTTGCCATACATTCCTCTCCTGCCTTTCTCTGCAGCCACTGTGACAAGGTCATCACTCCAGTCTCCCTCCCAGGTCAAGCACCTGAGTTTAGAGGTTCACAGCTTTTCATTCGTAAACAATTTTTTGATTTTATTTTTACTTCACCTGCTATTCACTTACTTCACGTGAGAAGACAGAGTCCCTATCCTTTGGGCAGGTACATCTCCACTAACCACAACTTCAGCTTTGAGTGTGGTCTCCTCGGACCACCACTCTCCAAACCCAAAGATGGCCAGCTGTTTGGGAAGAGGTAGCGGGATGTGGGCTTGGAAGCACCTTCGGCTCGATTTACTGCAGAGAAGACAAGTCAAGCTTTGTATTTCTAAAGAGAAAACTGCAACAAACTGCTATAAACCTGCTGAACTGTCGAGGTGCATCGCGGAGAGACCAGAGGACATAAAAATTCAGCTTCTTCATTTCATTTGAACACATTTAGGAGTTGAATCAGCAGGTAAAAGCAGATGATCATCAGTGATTGGGTTAAAAGGAGCGCAAAACTGCATTGGTTCTCTATCCTGGTCCTGGAGGGCTAGAATCCAGAATATTTTAGTTAACCTTGTTTCAACACACCTGATTTCTATCAGCAGGTGATTAACAGGCTTCTGCAGGGATTGATGAGCTGCTGCACAGGTGATTCAACCACTGAAATCAAATGGGTTGGAGCAGAGAAAAGGCGCTGGAGACAGGTGTCCCCAATGTATGTCTGTGGATGTCCCTCCAGGATCAGGATTGAGAACCACTGGCTTATGGCACATCTGGCTTTCAAGGCAGCTTTGTTTGTATGGCACATTTCATACAATGTGCAATTCAGTGTGCTTTCCAGGAGCAAGAACATGAAACATTAAAATCAACGTGACAACATAAAACAGCAGATTTGAAAATCAAATTTAACATACGCATAAAATTTGATTTCAGAATAAGATAAAAGTCAAAGTAAAAGGCTGAGCAATTACAGTGCTGAAGATGCAGCATAAGAATCATTAATCCATAGGGTGATGAAAACATGAAAGCTTTCCATTTTGATTTAAAACTTACTAGAGTTGGGGCAGTTGAAGTCTGTGTGCAGCATAGCTTCTGTTTGGTTCTGACCTGATGTTCCACCAGCTGACTGTTTCCTAAGGATCTCAGAGCCCTGCAGGGCGTATACAGTATACTGCAAGGATATCCAACATGTATTTTGGCCCCACGCCATTGAGTGATTTATAAACGAGCAGTAGCACATTGAAATCAATTCTGTGGTTCACTGGTAACAAGTGTAAAGATTTAAGAACAGGAGTGATGTGCTTGGTTCTTGGTAATACTCTAGCAGCAATTTGAATAAGCTGCATTTGCTTCACAGCTTTTTTGGGAAGACCAGACAAAAGACCATTGCAACAGTCCCTGCTGGAGATGATTGCATGACTTAGTTTCTCCAGACCTGGTCTGGACATGAGACCTCTGAGTCTTGCTATTTAATGATCTAGTTATAGCTCAATGTGAACAGTGAAGCTCAAGTCTGAATCAGTTATGACACCAATATTTCCATTCTGGGTCTTTTTCTTTACTCTTCTGGAGCCAGGTTGAGCAATAACCTCCATCCTCCTTCTTATTTCCAAAAACAATAACTTCAGTCTTGTCTTTTTATAACTGGAGGAAGTTTGATTGCATCCAGGCATTAACTTGCTTCAAACACTGACAGAGTGAGTCTAGGGGACAACAGTCACTAGATGATAGAGCTAGGTACATCTGGGTGTCATCTGCATAACTGATAGGCAATGTTGTTATTGTATATGACCTGGCCCTGACCGTGTAGACATTGAAGAGCAGTGGGCCAAGAATCAAACTTTGAGGGACCCCACATATCATTGTCAGCTTTGATTTGGGATCACCAATTGAAACATTACCCATCTTCAAGATATAATCGGAGTAAGGATTTATCTGCCCTCTGCTGGAGACTAAGTGTTACTACAGCATTCCTAAGCTAAACTTGTAGATCCCTTCAAAATAATACGTACCACTTAAAACTTTTAAACTGGCATAAATAACATTAAACTAGATAATGGAAAAGCCAGAAGCAACATATATTAACTGTAAGAACTGGCCACCTGTTTGCTATAAGCTCACTAATTTAAAAGACATGTGACACAACTGTTCTGCAGTTAAAATAAATGTAAATTTTAAATAAAAGAAATGAAATGGCTCTTTTTCATATTTAATCTATTTCTTGCTCATAACCAGTATTGGAGTAACATAATCATATTTATGTTACTCGTGATGGTGCCACATAAAGGCAATTCAAAAATAATTGTCTTACTGCATTTTAGCAGCCCAGGGAGACTAAATGGGACTCTAGGATTGTAACTGGTCCTCAGGGAGCACTAAAAATAAGACCAGGTTTCATCAGCCCTTCTGTTACAATTACATCAAGTCCCTAAAGCTGCAATTTAATAGAAGCACAAGGGAACACCTTGATGTGCAATCTAATCCCCGATCTGTGGGACTGTTAACAGATGACAACTTCTTGTGTTAAATGAGCAGTGAGATCCTGGAATCGTTTTCCTCTTTCCCCCCCAATTAATGACAAGGAAAAGTATATAATCTTCTCTTTATTGTGGAATATAAATTTCAGGGACAATAAAATTACAGTGAATGTACGGCACAGCAATATGTGAAGCTTTGAATCTGTTGCTTTACATTGCATACACCAGTAGCAGCCAAATCTGGGACATCTTTGGGAAGTGCACAAGTGATTCAAAGGTCAATCATAGAAAGAATGATGGTCAAATACAGAAAAAAAACAGAAAAGTAAGCACAGTGATCTTTTTTTCAAACTCACATACAACATGAAACACAGCTGGTCTCCCCCTTTATAACAGCTAAATAAAACACGGGCAAAGCAAAGATAAATATTGAATCTATTACATAAGAGCTTTATTTGATAAGGACTTTTATTTGTCATAAAAAGCAACCTCTGAAAACTATCGCTCACTTTTAGTACATTCAACATATCTCTCACTAACACGCTATCATGAACGCAAATAGTTTTTGTTTCATTTTAAGTGTCATTATAACATTATTAGACTCAACACACCCAAAATAAGGTACAATACAAACATGAATGATTGATACTGAGCAAAAAGGAGCACACGTAAACACACACACATGAAATAAGTGCATTTCTTTAGCGATTTAAGCACCTGGTGTGGTGAAAAACACTCCACGCAGGTGTTCCCTGATCGCTGCTACCAAATAAAGATGGAGACGATAGAAGTTTTAGGACGGGCACTTGACCAAACAGCACAGGGCATAAATGGGAATATGGCACATATGCAAGGCTTTTTTAAAATATATCACAAGACGCAAAAGCAGATGAAAACTTGGTAACTTCACATAAACGGAAACACAAAAGCAGGTAAAAAATAGATATGCCTGTAATAAATTTCTCAAATCAACTTTTTAAATTTTCCCAATCAAAAATAGTTCAGTGTACTTGAGATTAATATTATACATTCATAAGCAACTCATTGGCTATCAGGCACTGTAATACACCCTGTAATAAAGTGTTTTGTTTCGCCAAAGGGAGTAGGAGTTGTCGAACTTTAGGAGGTAAGTGCCTTCACCTGGAAAGTCATGGCTCCCTCCCTGGACAGACAAGTGGCTATCCTGGCGGTACACAGGAAGGATTTCAGACAAGTTGGAGTTAGTTTGACTTTTGGAGCCTTTCTCGATGTCATCGTTGCCAAGAGCTCCTGCAACAGAATTCCAAAAAAAGGGGAAAATTATTTTGCTAACTCAAACTAAGACCCTATACGCACGTAGCCGCTATCTCACAAAACAAGGGTATTTTTCTGGGGTTCGGTCCGTCTTCCACATGAAAGTGAAGATATATGGCACCGAAAATTATTCTTCGAAAACACCAACTTAAGTGGAGACTTGCAAAATCCTCATAGTCAGCATGCCTTTTCAGTGGCCTATGTCCAATCTGGGACAGGGAGATTGGAGTTCAAATCTGGTCAGGTCATACCGAAGACTTTAAAAATGGGACCCAATGCCTCCCCACTTGACACTCAGCTTGGATTGAGGGGTTAATCCACCAAATAGTTCCTAAGTGCAGCCTAGGAGATGTGTCAAACACAGATATATAATTTTACCAGTGTGTGACGATGACCTGTATAGTCACTCCACGTTCAAGGAAAGCTTTTCTGCAACAACACCAATTTGGGGATCTACTGCCTCCTAAAGGCTTGTCATGCCAGTGAGTGTGCTTCACAGTGCACTAAGGTTGGGCAATATCTAAAAATTTCCAAACGGTATCAGTCCGTCCAAATATGAAGATTGGCGATATATTTGCTCAGGAGACGTTTAGGCATTCTGTGGGCCTGTCACATTGCACGGAGCGCTCCACCAATCACAATCGTTCTTACTCAGTTTGCAGAAGCCAGCCACTAGGGTTCCACGTGAGAATTAATTGTTTTCCACATTTTATTGGCTTTTGATGCATTAATCCAATCAACTATAAACTGCTTTGCAGTTGGTTTGCGCTACACGAGTTTAAAGAGGGAGGTGCTTCTGACCTGTCAGCCAATAGTTGACGACTTTGCCCAGCAGAGAGGAGGTAACCCTTCCTCTATATGTTCAGGAAGATGTCACTCAAAAGTTTGAAGTCAACATTTGGATGCTAAGATGAGAGACACATCAGAGGGTAATTTTGAAAGTTTTCCGTGGTCTACTATGTTGGATTGTGAATGCAAGACTTGTTGTGGACCAACTACTTTGTTGAAGTACTTTTATTGGACTTCTGGATGTAAAAGACCATTCTAGTTGGAGGTGGATTTAAACAACGGGGGAAATTGTTTTGAAATTCCGAGTGGTTTGACCAAAGTGTTTATTGTGTCGACAGTTATTGTTGAATCCTCGATTGCAATAAATCATTGAAATCACAAGAATCCTAGATTGTAATCTGTATATGTACCGAACAAGTGTTGCAAAAAAGATGCTGATTTGACATGGAAATTTGCGTTGTCCCATCCGCTAGACCAATTCGCAGACATAAAAAAATTACTCATAACAAATTGTCAGCCAAAAGCTTGGCCAGTCAGCCTTAAAATGCACTGAATTTTCTGTTGAAAATTAGGTGGTGTGGACCCAAGTTTTTCCTAGATGGGTGAGGGAGAATATTTGATTTTACAAAAAACCATCTGTGTACATGGTCTAAGCTGAAAAGCTGCAGCTTTTTTTGTTTTATACACAGAGCATTATAAATATTGTGTAAAAGGGAAAGACTTTCATTAGGAATCAATTGAAGATGCTTTGAATTCTGCAAGCTGACCTTCCAGCTCCTCCTCTTCGTCTTCGTCATCGCTCGACTCGCTGATGTGCACGGTGATAGACCGGCTCGTCACAGGGGTCCAGTCAAAATAAATGCCAAAGCCGATGTCGTAACCGTCTGTAGCAAACTCCCAGCACACTTTCTTGGCCTCAGGGACAGTAGGGACGTGGACTGTCATGATGTCACCTCGATACACTGTCACTACGCTGTCTTTCTCTGGACGAAGTTTTGCCTTCAGCTCCTTCAGTGCAGCAGATGTCCAAGTTGTGGGGGGTGGCAGGGGTGGCATCTGGGCTGTGATGGGGGGGGAATCAGGAGTGCTGTTTAGACAATCCTTTGAGTGGTTTGAAATCACATACAACACTCTGTCTTGTCTGTTTTGGCATATTTATGACTATCCTGCATGCAAATCATAGATTAAACAAAGCAGCGGCCATGATGATGCACACAGCAAGTTCTCTCACCTTTCATCTCAGAGGAGAGCTGACAGCTCCCAGAACTGTTGTTCTCCTCTGCTCCTTCCCCCAGGGCCAGCTCAGCAGGGGACTCTTCACTGTTCTTAATGTGCATCCACATATGGTAAATTATAGGAACAAAAACAGAACTAAAAGTCTTGACTTTACACTGATGTTTGCCAAACACATCTTCAACATTCCCTACCTTTGGAAGCTGCTCTGAATCCTTCTTGGTTTCTTCCATATCAGATTGGGGTTTGGACTGGGAAATGCTCTCTGAAAGATTTGTATTCTGGAGCCTGCAGTAAAAAGAAACAGATGTTAGAACAAACACGGTGTAAATAATTAGCACTTTGCGTGCTAGCGATGAGCAACAGGTTACCTGTTCGGAGGGGTGCTGTTGCAGTGTTTGGATGCTATTCCGGGAAACGACGAAAAGGACAAGGATGACAGCCGGGACTGGAGCTCAGACGTATCCTCTAATCTCTCCATGGCTGTCATGACAAGACAAACACCTCTGTGTGTGGAAGAGAGAGGAGAGGACACACACCCCGCCCCTCACAACCAGGAGGAGGAAACAGAAGTTAGCCTCTTTAGGCAGCATAGGGACTAAAACTGCTGTTAAACGCACTAAAAATACTTTATTCAACACAAATAAAGCAATTAGTCACGCATGTATAACTATAAGCTACATTAAGTCATCCGTCAACAGCTTTGTCTTCGTAAAGTCCGCATCACAGCTGGCTATCAGACGTTAGCTGCTTAGCAAGTACTTTGACGTCAGCAGTTGTCTTACCGCGACGTAGCGCGAACACTCCGATGTGAAAAGATTTAAATCCAACCCAGACAGTTAAGACATTCGTCTCCACATTCCCGAAATCATGTGACGTCTCCTCAAGGCGTCGCTTTTTTTCCACAGGAAAAAAAAATGGACAAGAATTTTTGGTGACTTCCGTTTTTTTCCCGAATTTTGACGGAAACCAACGAATCCTCATCCGAAGGCGGAGCTGCTTTTGTTGCAACATCTGCTGCAGGGATCATTTGGAATAATTATAATAGTTTTTTATTGTAACGTACGTTTTTTGAGGATGGTGAAAAAAAGTTTCACATGTCAAAATAAAAACCTTCATAGCAACAGTAAAAAAAGATCCAAAACTTTCATTTGAACCTTTATTTCCCTTTCATGTATTTGATACAATTTTAATAGTTTACTGTACATGTTTGAGATGTCAAGTTGACGTTTTGTCCAAATTTTGAATAAGTGAGATGCAGACAGAAGCCATAATAAAAAAATTAAAACATGACAATCAAAACAGCAGCTTTCAACAAATCAATGCAACAAACCCTTACAGTTCAAAATAAAACAGACTTTGTACAAATGTCTATTCATCCTTTTGTTTGGGAAAGTAACCTTCCAAGTCACTTTAAAGTGCTGATTAATTTCATTTTACCCAACTTTGACACCACTTAATTTCTATTGTTTTCCTATTTTGCATGAAATGTATTTACAAATGTGGAATATTTACAATAAATAACAAGTCCAACATACAGTACGTGTAATAAATTAAGGGTAATTACACATCTGACACTAGTGTTTGACACCATGATGAAATGATCTGTAAACGCCTATTCAAAATGAAAACACCTTAGATATGCTGCTCTGTAATTTATCTGTTATATTCCTTTGTTAAAGCAAACAATGGACAACTCTCATGACCACAAAGGCACTGTTAGCTCAATCTGCCATGAGAAGAACACAATATTATTTACATCAGAACTGCTTGTCCTCTTTTTTCCCCCCACTTTAAGTTCTTGCTGCAGCTGCTGCAAAGTCATGGTTTCTGTCACCGTACAGCAGTGAGAATTACTCTTCCCCATGCCTCCATTTCTGTGACTCTTCCTGCCGTGCATCCGGGTGAATCTGGTTCCTCATCCCACCCAAGACGTTAGAGGTCGCCTCGGTGGCCATAATGAGTGGCTTGACTACTGCTGGTGGCAGCTGGCGGAGAACACCACCAACTGCTCCTGTCATTCCACGCTGCTCGTGCTCCCGCGTTGCTGTGTCATAGATGGTCAGCGCTGTGTCTGTGATGCCCTGTGGATGGAAATATCAGCATTACTGCTTCTCCAAAAACGGTGTAAAAGCGTTCAGCTGATTATTTACCTCTTTCACAACAGTGTAGGCTTTGGCTACACCTTCTCTCAGGTCAACAGGCTGATGAGCCAGACCATAATGAGAGTAGCGTATTACTCTCTTTGCGTCTCTCTCATCAGGAACTGGAGATACCATGTCGTAGGCTGTCTCAGCTGCTGCCTACAGAGACAGAAACAACACAGATGATGGATTGTTCGGTAACAGAGTGACTGTCCAGAAAGTGGGAGACTAAAGCCCTTTTCAGATTGACATTCCGGAATATGTGTGGACAATTCAGTCCGGTTTTTAACCAGAACTGTGTTTTCAGACACACCACTTTTGTACCGGAACTTGTCCTTTTGGCTGCCTTCACACAGCAGGGAAAAGTTCTAGATGTGTGGGGGGGGTGAATCGGACTTATGTTGAGCATAATTCTGCGCACACGAAGATGCATAAGACCTGGAAGACGGCGCTAAATGGTTAAAGGAATCACGGGAGCGGTGTGATGCGCTCCATTGCGCGTCTAGACGGTACCGTAGGAGGTGAGCTGCCATGGTTTGCCGCATGCTACAGGAGTGAGCTATCTAGGAGCGCACAGCGTCCTCCGGTCTCCTCCTCCCTGTCCAGAACTCAACCTCACCAGTCTGAAGCAGCCACCTTGTCTGTAACAAGTCCGGACCTGTTGCTAGGGGCGTCGTCCGGTTTAATTACGGAAAACGTTATCCGGATGTTTGTATTCAGACACAAAGGTCTTACGGACAGAGTCCTGAACATTTCCGTTTTTCATGGCCTGTCTGAAGGGGGCTTAATTTACCTGAACGGTGCGGACCATCCTGTTTGTGAGCTCTAGAGCCGCCATGGCTGTGGAAGTTCCAAAGGAGGCGGTGCCGCGTTGAAACCCCCGAACAATCCGACCATCCTTCCTGTACTGCTCAATAGGGAGCCAGACCAAGTCCCTGAGGCCGTGAACTGAACAAAATATTAACATTTGTTTCAATCTTGGGACTTTATATGTGCAGTTAAAAAAAACTTCAGGTATCTGAAATATATATTAAAAAATTCTTATTTTAGATCTTTGCATAAAACAAAACATGGTTATGATTAACACTCATTATCATTTGCAAGGTATTAAAAGTCAATTCTAGGATGAAAGTAGGACTGGGCGATATGGCCTAAAATCAATATCACGATTTATTGAGGATTTCACCTCGATAACGATAAATGGACGAAAACTACAGATATGTGCAGAAACCAAAGTTGTCCACTAGATGGGGCTGTCACACGTACTCCCTTGAGACATTTTTACGTGACTCAAGGGAGTACAGCTTCTTAGAGGGACATGAATGCTGCCAACACATTTTTTCACTTTTTTATCATCTAATTTATTGACATGGGAAAAGTTTTCATGATAAGAGTCAGAAATTTTGATTTCGATAAATTTTCTATTTATTGCCCAGCCCTAGATGAAAGTACAACTAAAATCCTGAGATTAGGTCAAGAATAAATTTTTCACTCACCGAGTTTTACCAGAGTGTGAATGGGCGTCACGCCACTCAGAAGTCCTTGAAGCTGATTGGTCTTTATGTCATTTAGCCACTCGTTTATTGCGTAGGAAAAGAGCTTATCCATGCCCAGCAATCTGCAACACAAGAGGTCAATGCATATCACAGAGGACCTGCTGAATGTGAGATGTTCCCTTATAGTTTGATACATTACCCTTGTCTGTAGCACAACTGCCTCAGTTTCAATTCTGAACAATTCAGCTGAGTCAACCCAAAGATGATTCCTGCAAATGTGCCCTGAAACAATCATTAATGAAATCAATATTTAGATAAAAACAAAGCTGAAGCCAACACATTTTCCTTTTAGAACACGTACCTGGTCCATTGTCACATGTTTCCCATGGTAATCCAGACGAATTGGAACGTCAGAGGTAAACCGAAACTCCCTGTTAGGAAGAGAAGACATTATTCAACCCAGACAAGTCATTCTGGCTTTTTCCTCTGGTTTGGAACACGATGACATGTTCCACTGACCTAAAGAAGATTGGCTGATCTGTAAAGAGACAAGCAGAGGCGTCGCTATCGTTCACTTCTTCTGTGGCAGATGTGGTGAAACCATTGAGGCTCGTGTGTCTCTGAGCAGGAAGAGAAATGATTGGGGCTGGATCCTGGCTGCCAGGAGTGTGCTTAGTGAAGCTGCAGGAGATCTCTGGAGCCGCTGCTTTCTTTGTGCTAACGCAAACAGCTGCAAACAAACAAAAAAAAAAACGAGCAGGAGGTGTGAAATCAAATTAGACGTTACAACGGACGTGCCAGTGAATCATAAGTCTTACCATCTTGAGCAGGCGGTGAGAAAAACTCTACTTCAGTGGCGAGACTGCTGAAGAAGTCTTTCAGGAAGAATAATGCATCCTTCAAAGCAAAGAATGTTAGAAAGTTTTTTGTTGTTTCTATACATCTGCATCTTTACACCATTACCTGATCTATATTGAGGCGAAGAGGCATAAGGGAGACTCGTAAGCAGCACTCGGGAGGAGCCTGGCCTGACTCGGGACACGTGTGTAAAGCCTTAACTGTCAACTGAAACAAGAGGCACTCATCAAGCTGCACCAAACCAAAGAGGTTTTCCTGAGTAGGCTGCCTCTCTCACCATGTTAGAGTGGGCTTTTCTGGGCATTTCCTTGCTGGAGTACAAATAGAGAAACTTGTTCATCTGTGAGGTAGCGAGTCTGTCCCGGATCTCCAGGTCTTGTACGATAAACACCTGCCGGGACACTGGCTGGTCCACTGTTGGACGTGATGCCAGAGTGGGGTGTGGGTACACCTCGTGTTGAAACCTCACCTAAAAGAAGAACCCAAAAACAACAAATTACAGGAAATGATCCGTGTTTGTAGCTTCTATAAATTCTTGGGGTAAAAAAGTAAACCTTGCTGAGTTGAATTTCCATTAAAACATCAGGGTTCCTTCCTCTTCCTCCTCCTGCCCGCCCCAGCGTCTTCACTTGCCTGACTGGGGTGTGAGATGGGGAGCTATGAAGAGTAGATCTGTGAGATGCAGAAAATTACTTTTAAAAAACATTTGGTTTCTTTGCAGCAAATCAAAACTGAGCTTTAGACTTGCGGCTTACCCCCTGCTTCTGGCGGGAGACGCTGTGCAAGCTATGCTCCCAAAGTCTTTTCCTCCATAAAGATGCCAGATGATGGAAATCTCTTTAATGAGGTAGCGAACCTCCGGGATGGGAAAATTCACAGCTCCACGACTGGAATCGCTCCCTTCCAGAGGCGGACTGAAGTAATCGTCTTTGATTTCCACTGGATCCGAGGTAAGTAGTTTCACCACAGGCTCCTGATCCCGGTCCTGAAGCCAACAGTTTACAGTGAAGCGACACGCTTGTTATGTAAACTCAAGTGTAGCGAGTGAGTAAATTCCCCAACCTCCCCTTTGGAGCCAGGAGATTCCAGAATACAGAAGTCATCCATCTCTTGGGCCAGGTTAGGAGCAGGTGTGATGAGGGGAGATGGAAGCACGGGGTAGGTGGGGCTTGAATCCTGGGTAATATTCCCACTCTCATCAGGGAACAGGAACAGGTCTGAGCGAGGTGGATCTAGGTCAAGAATCGGCTCCTCGTGGGAACCTAGAAATATGAAGAATTCACAGTGAAATGACTTTGAGCTTTTAGGAACCGGCTGGAGGAATGAATCGACGTAGGTCGGTCTTTACCGTTTTGTTGTGGTCCTGGTGCCAGCTGCCCATCCATCTCCTCCATAGCTTCACTCATCAGGTCCTGCAGCATCTGCTGCTCCGTTTCAGCCAGCAGAGGAGTCTGAGATGTTGGTCTGCTGGAAGCCTCCGTCTGTCATATAACACAATCAAGATGTGGATCGGTAGTTTTATAACCTTTATAAACGTAACAAAGTCAGGAGCTGACCTTGCTTTTATGTGTGGCCTCTGGCTCCTCTGGGGGCAGCAGGTCTCCATAGCTAGCCACGTACTGGATCAGGTTCATAAGAGCGGCGCAGGAGTCCGAACAAGTCCGGATGTGAATCGCATCACTGGAGCAGCGCAGCTCGAATCTGGGCTCCGACTAACAACAAAGAGAGAGAAAACGTGATCAGATTTTTATGTGACAGTTAGAAATCCCATTTAGGGACAGAAAACTTACCAACTTTCCATCTGCTCCAGGTTTGACAGCTGTAATCCTCAGCTCCAGCGTTCCCATATCCACCACCTGAACATAGTCTGTAACACGAGTCAAGCATTAAATCATTTAAACAGTAAAAAAAAAAGTTAAAATAGTTAAAAGTCAGCATACCTCGCACTAGATTAACAGAAACAGCGTTATTCTTGTCTGAGAGAAACAGAGCAGCTTCATCCAAAATGATCCTGCAAAGAAAAACATGTCATCATAAATACAGAATAAACTATTTTCTATAAACTTGAGTGAAACCTCTCAAGTCTTCATGTCAAATAGAGCCAGCGGCCATTTCCTACCTCAACGTTGACGACAAATTGTCTAAAGAGACGCTGCTGGAGATGCTGAAAGTTTCAACAACCACCACCGATCTGAGGGGCAGGTAAAGGGGTCTGCACAGATAACAAAGGTGTCATTAATACACAAACAAGTAATAAACAGCTGATTGATAGTGTTTTTTTTTGTTTTTTTTTATCTTTTATTTTCATTTATTGACATTAAAATAAAAATACAGTCAGAACTAAATTACTGCAAGCCAAAATGAAAAAGGGGACAGAAAGAAGAAAAACGTATGTTGTCTGCCCCTTTTAACTGAAATAGCATTAATACAAATGAAATAATCATATGATTCTAAAGAAATTGAACAATATAGTTCCTGGACCTGTTGGTCGACAAAATCTCAACCCATGAATTTGAGAAAAAAATAGAAAAAGAAAACAATTTACACAGAAAGAAGCATTAAGTTACAGATCTATATACATACATATATACACATACGAATACGCACTAGGTAATTTTTTTTTCCTTTCATTCCCCCACCCCCCTCCCCTCACACATTTATGTAACAGATCTATATAAGTTAATCATTTTATTTTTTATCTCTTTTTTGAAAGTCAATATTGTTTTTGCATTCTTGAGTTCAGTATTCAATTTATTCCACAATTAAACTCCATATATGGAGACACAATGTTCCTTTGCGAGTATCCGATGTCTAGGTATGTTAAGTAATTCATGTCCCTTTAAATCATATTTGCTATGTCTTTTTGAAAATCGTTTAATTAATCCTGCAGGTACGTTCCTTTTGTTTGTATTATACATAAATTTTAAAATATTGTAGTCCACCAGATCATAGAATTTTAGTGTTTTTAATTTAATAAATAATGGATTGGATGGATCTCTGTAGTTGCTCCTTGTGATTATTCTTATTGCTTTTTTCTGTAAGATGTAGATCGAATTTGTGTAAGTTTTATATCTTGTTCCCCAGATTTCTATGCAGTAGTTCAGGTATGGTATGATCAGTGACTTATATAACAAATATAATGAATTATTATCAAGCAACCCGTTTGCTCTATGTAACAGTGCAATTGTTAGTGGTTAACTCCACTCTACCTGTAGTCTAACGAGCAGCTCCACAGGTGTAAATGTAGAGTGGTGACAGACATGGGAGGGGCGTAACCCAACACGGGTTCATCAGAAACATTCAGAAAGTCGACAATCTGTTGCACAAAAATCCATAAAAGAACATCAACAACATGTGAAGGTGATGAAAAGCCAAACTAATATTGAAGCAGCAGTGCTTTAGTTTTTTACCTGTTCATACCAGCCCAGGTTGGGAGGGACGACACGGTGCTGCAGCGTGGCTCCTCTCACTCCGACAGCAACCAAAAACTCCTGCAAAAAAATAAACAACATCACAACAAACAGATCTGCAGTATATCATGGTTGTGAGACGTGTGCAAAAATCACCGTCTTTGAAAATCTGTTCAACCTCCAACAAGTTTTCATAACACGACTGAACATCTGACCTTGATGTTGCACTCTGGGCTCTGTGATGAGATTTTGACAGCGACTGAGACCATGCTGCGAGCTTCCAGACCGATGCCCTCTGAGGGTGTTGAAGACTTCTCAGGAGACGTCTCTGATTGGTAGACGGTTGGCTCCAGCCAGTGTGGATGTGTTCTGCATGGCAAACTGATGTCTGCCGCAGAGCCGCCTCTTTCTAGGAGTCCTGAGTTGATCAATACATGGAGGACGACATAAACGTAGCTTTATTCTGATGATAAAGAGTTACAGATGGTGCCGAAAGCCGTTACCTTGATGGTACATGCACACGCTGCTGGTGTGGAAGCAGATGTAGTGCTGATCTTTGTAGCCTTCGTACTGGGCGACGCTGAACAGAACACCATTCTTCACCTCTAGCCAGAACTCGCCGTATTTGTTTTTGAGGACGGTTTTATCCTCGCCCTGAAACCAAGAAAAAATAAAAGAGAAGCTGAAACACTGCACTTATTAAAATGTGAGCATGCTAAACAGATTTTACCTTGGCATTTGTCTGGAGAGACACCAGACCATGACTAACACTCAGGATGACGGAAAAAAGACTCTGAGAAGTTTTACTGTGGGTTTTGGGTTTTTTCTTCTTTCGGGATCTGAAGCCCAGGTCAGAAGATGGTGAGTAGTAGAGCATATTCTCCTCCTCAGAGCCACTGCTGTCCTCTGTTAAACAGAACCGACTCGTTTCTGGTAGCAGCTGAGACACGGGTTTATAAAACTAGATCTTATAGCAAAACATAAAAAAAAAAAACAAGAGTGATCATCTCACCATCAGGACCAGTAGAGCGAAACTGACTAAAACTGTCTTTGGAGTAAGTGTTGATCAGCTGACTGGCCACGGAGAGTCCGACGCCATAAGGCATGCTCTCTACGGTCTCCACTGGAGACGGAGCGGTGGGCTCCCACAGCAACAGGTCATTGTTTATCCTAAAGTAAGGATATTACATTTTTATTTAGAAATTATGTATAAAATGCAATTAAACTGTAAAATGTTTAATAATAATAGTGGTTTCTGTGTGTTAATGACTAACTATTTACCTGTTGTGTAGTTTTTCATAGAAAGCTTTGCTGGGGAGCGTTAGCTGCACGTTAGGGAAGCAAAGCTCAAGGACAAACCGAGAGGTGTTCATGGTTTTCTCCTGGAATTCTGTCATCTCAGCAACATCACCAGGAATGACCATCTGGAGTCAGGAACAAAAACAGCTTTAGCTGGATAAGCAAACACTTTGTCACAGTTTGCATAAACGCCCATCAATCAAACTCGTCTTTGAATGCAAATGTTTCCCACCTCAGGCGCACCTGCGTCGTTATCAAAACATAAATCCCAAATCGGGTAGAGCCGAGATGACATCATTTCAAAGGGAACAGCTAGTCTGATGCATTTAATGCTAACATCCGAGTCTACTGATGCCAAGACGCAACGACCATTTACGAAATTTCATCTGAATATTTAAACAACAAATGATGTTGTTGGTAGCAGCCAGAAAAGGAACCTGTACACAAAAGGTGCTATGAAGTTGTTAGTAACACAAGTTAATTATAACTCAGCTGGAATGTTCTATTAAAATAAAACCATTTATCTGATATCGTCACTGAAGCGACACCTAGTGGCAGCAACCGAGGCAACACTCTCCACTTCAGTGTGTGTGAAAAAGCAAACAAACATAAAGAAGATATAATAGCAAACTCTTAAATCCTGGGGGGGGGTCGTTACAAATGACCGAATAGTTCACGGATTTCTGCTCACCTCTTCGTTTTCATACATAACCCTACGAGAAGAAAAGGGGGACGGCTCTGGCTTCCCGAAGTCACACACATCCTTCAGTGAGTGAGCCGCTCCTTCCTCTTCTTCCTCCTCTAGAGAGTGGTCCTCAGCACCCTCGTCGTCCTCAGCCGTCACGCGTTCCAGGATGGAATGGACCGCCGTGGGATTCATCTTCAGCACAACCCTGTGAATCGAGGTTAAATGTCACAAGTTACGGCTGATCGGTTTAACGTTCGGAGGCGTTACACTAGGGCTGGGGGTAAACGATTATTTTTAAAACGATTATTCTGACGATTATTTTATCGAATAGTCGACTATTCTAATGATTATTTAGAAAATTAATCTAATGATTATTTTTCTATTGCACAATTAACAAAAACCAGAAAATCTCAAATAAATTCCTCAAAAAAATTGATAAATTCTTACTGTAAGAGAATAAACACTACAGGCCTTCCATTTTGTATAACACTGCTTTTATTGTGTTGCGGTTGGTTATGTTCTGGTGACGTGTAGAACTTGGGGAGTGCAGGCTGCTGCCTGAGAGGTGGTAGAAGATGGAGTGTCTCCATGCTGCTTTGTTTTGGTCACTTATGTGCGTGAGGCGAGTGGTCTTACGGGTTAAACCAAACTCAGGTGATATTTTACACTAAACCGAAAACCCACAACACTCTAAATGTAATAAAAGGGAGATCTACACCACAAAAAAGATGAACTCTAAACCAAAACGTAACAGCTTATCCCAACGCAAGAAGCTGTTAGCGAAGATGCTAACAGTAGCTTTACCAACATTAAGTTCAAGTTACCAAATTTAAATAAACCAAAAACACCCAGCAGCAAACAGACCAGCACGGAGGAGAGACTGCTACCACCAAAACAGCTCTCCTCATGTCTGAAAGAAGCTCCTTAATGAAGGGAGAAGCGCTCCCGGTGATTTTCTACATCTGCGATAGACACGAAGCAGCGCATCTGACCCCGGAAGTTGTTGTCCGTTGCCGGGAGACGAAGGGGCAAAACAGGAAAATAATCTAGTAGTGGACGGACGTTGTTCCGGGTCTTCGGTATTTGGCGGAGATGTTAGTGAAGGCGGAGAAGAGGGCGAACTAGAGGAAAAACAGGCAGATTCCTCCTCTATTTACAAACTCCTGGGGATGCAACAAGTGGGGGCGGTGCGTCGACTTCCGGATCTGACGTCGACAAATTTTTAGAATCGAGCCGTCGACTTCGTCGAGGCTTCGCTACAGCCCTACGTTACACGTACCTCGGCCAGTCGAACTTCACACTTTCGGATGTCATCATGTCTCCTTCCATGTTGTGAGACACTCTGAGGAAATATGCGGCCGGTTGGTCTGCCTCCTCCTGGAACTTCCCTACACAGAAAATATACAAACAAAAGCCATTAAAGAAGAGTTCTATATTTACTAACGAGGTTACTGGTTTGGTGATTTACCAGTAAGCTCCTTAAACGTAAGCTCCATTTTGGTTTGGCCGGGTGAGCTGCCACCCATGAACTCGGTTTTTAATTCCATTTTTTCCAGCTCCAGATGGAGGATTTCTTTCTGGAGGGACTTCTTGAACCAAGGACCTCTCTCCTGATCTGAACGCAGGTCGGGGATGGGGAAGCGCACGGCAACACCCAGCAAAGGGGCGTTAATGGTCAGCGATATGTGGCAGTTACTAGGCGTGTGGGTGTCGTCCAGGAAAACCTCTGCAAAGGCTTTGTGCTGGGGAAAGTTCCAGAAAATATTCATAAACATCCAACAACAGATCATTTCTGCACTAACAGACCCGGGACGGCACATGTCCTCACCAAGCTGAAGTGTTTGTTGTAGGACGTGTACATGTGAGAGGCCATCATCTCTGTGGTAGCTAACTTCTGAGGCTGCAGCAGTGAGTTGAGACGATCCACGATGCTGATGTCCAGCTCTGAGCGCACCGGTCCCAGCTCCACCTGGATATCCGCCTTCCTTGGAATTGTGCTTAGACGCACCTGACCGCCCTGCACATACAAACAGTTATTGGCTTGAATAGTAGGAAAAACTACAACAAGGGTCTGTTTTTGTTACCTGAGGGCCTCTACGCTCAGCCAGCTTGTAAAGCAGGTGAAGGCAGATGGGAAGTGGTGCATCAGTGCCGGTCGGGGCGTCAAATGTCAAGAGCTAAAGTGCGGCAAAGAAATGAGCACAAACCTTCATCTTCTGAGTGTTCTCTATATTGTTTGTGTAAAGAATCAGAGAAATTTTTAGTGCAGATCTCACTTCTGTGTACTGGATCCCTGGCTGGGATCTACCAATGGGTGCTTCAGAAGGGAACAAACACTCCACAAACTCCATCTGATTCAGGGAGATGTCGGTCTTGAACGTCCGCAGGTTGGATCCCTGACAGTGACTGTAGTTTATCGTCAGACTCTGACCAACAAACCTGAAAAAGTAAAGTCCAGATCAGACAGAAAAGATAGGTGAGATGAGGAAAATTACCTGAACAAATGGAATTAAGGATTGGGAAGTGTACCTGAGATGATCGTGGGGGCATGCTTGATCAAACACTGTCCGAGACTGAAGGAAGGAATCTGGAGAAAGCTGGCCTGGGCCCTCCCAGCTAAAGAAATGTACAGATATTGGTCCGAAGGGGCTTGGAGCAGCATGTGGAGGTGGCAGTGGGTCGATATGAAGCACAGAAAGAGCAAAGCAGCTCAGAGACAACCTCAACACCAACTCTGGCCTTGACTCGTCCCCGTGGGTTTTAGATGGATGAGCTGAAACAGTCCCAGAATAATACAGATCAATTAAGTTCATGGTTTATGTATCGATCAATTGAAGAAAAAAAAAAGGCTTACAGGTTTGTCTCAACAGCATCTGAGGGAGGTGATCCCGGGATTGGACTGGAGCTTCACTAGTCTGCTTCACTCGTTGACGCGGCACATCCATGTAATCTTCCCACACAGCCTGAAAAAGCCAACACACACCCACGTTTAAATCACAAAGTGGACTAGTTAACATTTTACCAACATTTTTCAGGGCTTTGGGACGATTCTGAGCTTAAAAGTGAAACGTACTGTTGTGTTTGCAGAAGGAGACTCTCCTGGAGAAGCGGAGTAGTTACTGTTCAGTGACAAGTCCAGGTCCACGGTGGGTGGTTCACCCAGAGGAGGGAGGGATGATAAACTGTGAGACATGTCCATGTCCGCCATGGAGAAGAACACATCATCTACAACACACACACACACACGCACGCACGTACACACACACAACTGTTTAAACTGAGCAGGAGAATTTGTGACACCCACATAATTTTCTGTTTTTATCTCTATTCCCATTTGAGAAAATTCCTCTCCTGAATGTTTCATCATTTAAAAGCAAATGTCCTTCATAACCAGTTTAACGGTGGCTGTGATCCTTCTTTGAACAATAACACTGATTTGAAACATTACAGTGTTTTTATTCTAACCTCGACTTGACACTGTTCTGGTGGTCTGACTGTCAAAAAGGTCAGCGTCTGCAACAGCAGTGTCCTTCTTCAGACACCGGTTCAGCTCCAAATGGAGACGATACTCATCCTCCTGCTGGATGGGACGACTTTTTCGGTCTTTACTCCAATCCTGTGCACCTTGACACAGAAAGCAGCAAATAATCTCAGATTGCGCATGTGGTGACGCCGTTTCCCTGTTTGGGGAACATGGCTGCTCACCTCTGCCAGAGAAAGCTCCAAACATGTCCAAGAGGAGGTGAACTTGCCGTGGGGACAGAAGGACAAGTAGCATATCGATGTGTCCGACGACATCCAGCTGAGAAGCAACACGTGGAAAACCACAGCATTAGTCCACCAATAAACAAAACTACTGGATGATTATTCAGGTTTATGCTTCATATATTACTTGGAAATAAGGAAACTGTTTGTTTACCTTTGCTCCAGACAGAGCAAGGTTGTTTTTCAGAGTTAGAGACAACTCGATTTTACCACTGAGACTCCCAACCTGCACAGGCTCAAAGGGAGCTGAGGAGGACGGAGGCTCCATAAACTGAGGGTGGGGCTCACATATTATTTTTGGATTCCAGCTCGGTGAGAGTTTTGGTTCAGTTTCCTGTAAAAATAAAAGATTTCTGTATCAAAAACATTATATTCTTTGTAAACTCTAAGCTCGTTTTATGCATGTTCAACTCCGACCGAAGGAGTGGGTGAGGATCTGCAACCATGTGAAGCGTCAGAAAACTCGTCCCAGAATACAGTGATTCCTTCCATTTGCATCTTTTTATGTGCGAAGGAGGTCGGCTGATGCACGTTAACACTCGGACTCTCTTCACCCGTTTCATCGCAGTACACAATCCTAAACGGAAACACAAAACACAATAAGGACCTGCTAACGTTCTGGAATCGTCTTCCTAAGCTCGTTTCCGTCTACTTACCTGCTGATTCGAACCTCAAGAACAAATCCGGTTTTAGAGTTTTCTGGAACGTGTTCGACTCTGAGAACCGTGTCCAAAAATGTCACTTTGACTCTTCTCAGAACTGGGAGATGAGAAAAACAAATCGATTACTCCTTATGCTGCTTAACTGAAGACTGAAAGATGGATCAGATAAGATGCAATGTACCAGTTTCTATTGTCTCTGCGAACTTTTCTAATCCCTCAAACGGCTGAAAGCTTTCCCCCATATCATCGGTGAGCTTCTGACTGAGACACTCCTTGGCGAGCTGCATGCTGCTGGTCATGAAACTAGACCAGTACATGGGCTCAACACCAGATGCTGAAGGAACAACAAGAGGGGAAAGGATTATGCCTCATTCCCATCTGTACCTGGTCGGCCCTGCCCGGATAGCTCCAGTCGGCCCCAGCCTGGCTCGGTTGATTCCACACATCCTTGCTTAGGAATGCAGTCAGACATTTTCAGCTTCTAAGTAATCAGCATGATAATGAATGATGATGATGAACTGAGCATGCCTTAAGCCCATGTGGGCTGATTCTACCCACCAATCAGAGGCTTGCTCTAATGGAAGGTGTGAATTTGCTGACTAGGGATGCACCGATCAGGTTTTTTGCTGCCGATCACCGATACCGATATCAAAGAACGTTGATCACCGATACCGATCACGTGGACTGGCCAGAAATTTTCTACAACATTATAATGAGTGCTACAAACTACATAATCTGGGAATAAAGGAAATGTAATCTAAAATGGTCTCGGTCTGCTTTGATCTATTTTGAAAACTCCGATCAAAACCGATAGGGGCGCTATCGGCCGATTGGGATCAAATGCCGATCCATCGGTGCATCCCTATTGCTGACTGATAAGCCGGCTTATCAGTCAGCAGTGGGTGTGTTGGCCCTGGTCAGCCTGAAGCAGACCACCTCAGAAAGAGAGCTGAAAAACAGTCTTGTTGCACCCTGAAAAAAGGCAGGCCACCAAGATGTAAGAAAGCTATGCTATCCGGGCCGGGCCGACTAGGTACAGATGGGACTGGCCCAATAGTCACAATATGATATGCAATACACATCCTGTACATTTCTGCATTATTTATAAAAATTACACAGATTAGGATCTCCTTACCTGCTCTTGGTCTTGGTCGGAGCACCATCTCCAAACCTTTGACCTCTAGGGCACAGTTTTCTTGCAGCAGTGCTGCCCATGGGACGGTCAGAGAAATTGTCTGGATGAAGCCTGTGATGACTTCAAAAGGAGCATCTGAGGTCTCCAGCAGCTCATTAAGGGACTGTGAAATGGGAAACTATGCCTTATAATTATTGTTTTTCTATTTCCCTTTAAATGTGCAACTGTGTAATAAAGACAAAACTAAGAATTTGACATACGAGTATTTATAGCATTGGCCAAAATTGTTCTTGTTGATGCCTTAAACTCATTAACCCAAAAATGTAGTGGTCTAGAAATATTTTATCATATCAGACTGGAATTTATGTTTATGTCGTAGTACACATTAGATTGGATATTCAGTTGGAATAAATTAATGAGCTGTACGTACCCATTTGTCCAAAGGAACTTGCGCAAGAGACCCAGTGCCTTGATAAAGATCAAGACTGAGTTGTTCCAAGCTCAGTTTTTCCTGCAGGAAGTTTCCTAGGTACCGGTGCAGGAGGTACCTACAAGCCCGTTTCTTGATCGATTCCGAAAACGGCCAAGGCATCTCAACTTGGTAGGCCAGCAGCAAGCAAGTGATGAAATTTTGACTTGAAAGTTTGCTACTGCAACGCTGCAGGTTTTCAGACAGCTATGAATGAACCAGTGATGTGACAATCATGTCATCCTGTTGACTTGAAGATGCAGAAAAACTGTGAGCTCAAACATCCTTCATATCTCTGGGTTTGAGACAGTCGGGAGGATGTGTTGATACTCAGAGATGTGTGTAGGAATGGGTCCGACTCCAGTTTGCTGCGTCTAGAGAAAAACAACACACAAGGTTAGAAATATGACACCATATGACTTAACACAAAATATTAACAGGAAAACTATGAACAATGAGTTATCTAGCTGTTAAATGAAGACTGAGACGATACTAAATCACTTGGGTGGATATAAATTAATCGTACTACAAACGTGTGTATAAAGAGCACGTTTGTGCCTCTTGTTACTAGTTACTTGCGAAATAGCTGTAGTTAGCATATCACAAATTTATCATCTTTATCAGCCTTTAAATTTGTTTATGTAAACACAGCTGTCATGACAGGCGGTTTTGACTGTTGGCTAGACAAAGGCAAGTCATTCAGCTAACTAGCCGGCTATTATGCGTGAGGTTTACCCAATCTGTGGGGTGAAGCTACATTAGCGTAGTCGGTGGGTAGCATAAAGCTAAGGTGGTAGCATTGTGCTAGTTAGCAAGCGAGCAAAGGTAAAAACACATTTTCCTTTTATAAGCCTCTCCACTCAAAATGTAAACGAATTAAAACATTATGCTTAAAAACAAGGTTTATAATTCAACGACGACGCTTTAGAAAAGCTAAATAGACCACATCAAGACAGCTCTTAAGTTACCTTCTGATTGAGTTGTTTACAAACACTTTCATGACTCCGCACCAACTGACCCTGCATTTAATTGAGAGACCTCCAGAGGGAGAAATAAACACTCAAATATGTTCATTGGCAACCCTCAAAAGCAACACAAACATGTTCTTATCCAGCGACATTAAATAGGAGAAAACATACGTACCGTTTGGCGTTTTATATATTTTTGTTTCTAAGTAATTCAGTATTTATTCAAAGTTCTCCTCGTTTCCTACATGCCTCTGAATGCACCATAAATCCCACACATTTAGGGGTGGGATTAGTTCATGACGTCATTACATGGCGGACCTGTTATGCTCACGGCACTTCACAACTAAGAATTGGCTGATATTTAGAAAATCAGAATTTAATCTGTACAAAATAAGTTAAAAAAGCGTGTTTTCATCATAGCTTTTGAAGTGACGCTCCTTTCGGGTGGTTCTTTCCCACGCAGAGCAGCTCAGTGGGCTGGAACTAGAAGCTTCTCCAAAGCGGAAGAACACAACCAGCGAGAGGGTGAGAAAAATTACTGCAGCTTCATCTGTATTTATTTGTTTATGCACGATCCAATCTCTTACTGATATTTCAAAACGTCATTGAAGATTCACACCTAAAACCCAAAAGAAGGACGGAATTACGTTTGGATCGAACAGTTGATTTTCAATAAAACTGCAGAGTTTAGCGCCACATTTATTTAAACCTCATTTGCTCAATAAACATAACTATAACACCTAAAGTTATTATTCTATTTATGTGAATTACAAAGCCAGTTTATTGGTATTTTTGCAGATACGTATGCGTCATTGTTTATTTTCCACAAGGTGTCGCTGTTTTTGTTTTTATAAACATTTAGTTACAAGAATCTTCAATAAAGTACAATTTATAAACGAAAACAGGCATAATTCGTATGCATTAGGTTGCACAATGTACTTAATATGCATTGATAATGTTTTTTACTGTCGTTGTAAAAAAATCTTATCATCAAAGCTAATAATAATAATATTAATCTACTTATTAAAATACATATATACATGTAAATGTTTGCCCGAGTTCGATTCAGAGTGTGTATTTTTTCCGTATTAATTGGGTTAATAAATAAGCAGGGGTTTGTAGGTATTGTTTTTCATTATGTTACTAAACTGTAAAACAAATACTTGTATAGAGGGCTCAAGTACAAAAAACAGCAGTGACAAAGTATTGCACAGTGTTTATTTTAAAGTGTATAAAACTAATTTTATCAGCATCCATAAACAAAACACGAAAAGAATGTCTGTGGTTTAAAAATAAACTTTCTGAAAGTTTCCCCACCCTGTAAAAGTTGATTTACTGTGGAGGTTGTTTAGTTTTGCTGCACCTTGAAGATTGCAGTCATGACTGATGACAAAGCAAAGACATGCAACTGCTGACTCACGCGGAAGTGAAGTAATCTGCACCCTGGAGTAAATGCATCGTGATGGGTTCCAGCTTTTTCGACTAATGCATGGAGCAAAAGAGAAATCAATAGTTACTCATCTGCATAGAGTCTGAGTTTTCCTCAGGTTTGCAGTGAATGATGGGGTTGAGAGGGAAAAAAAGAACAAAAAGAATCAAAACAAACGTGTTTTATTAGCCATAATTATAGTGTAGGAGTAACACCTGTGCAATGTTCTCAGTGGCGGTTTTACCATTAGGCATAGGTCGGCGGCCGCCTGGGGCCCCCTTGTGTTGGGGGGGCCCCCTAGCCCTGACCGCCGGCACCCCTCTGTTAATGCCACAATATTCAACCTGTCGCCGCCGACGGGATTGGACATGCACACTTCTCATTACCATAATTCCTGAACCGTTCAAGATATCATTAAAATTCCAAAAGTGCTGAAATGATTAAAAATGGGGGGTTTTGTGCATATACAATACATTACGGTAGCCACCGGGATTTCCTGTCTTGAGCGCAACGAATCACAACACAGATTCAGAGACATGCTGAGTTTGTCATCCAAAATGCTCTGTTTTATTACTTTTGAATGGCTGGTCAGATTAAAAAAATTTAAACGGTTCCTAAAATAAAAGCAGCTTTCCAACGATCTATAGCATGAAGCAATCGGAGTTATGGAAAATATCGCTACGAGGGGACATCCTGCTGTACAGCCTGATTGAAATGGAGCGCAGCGCCGCGGTGAAAGCGGATAACGGAACAGGGAAGCTAATTAGCATAAAAACCAGCATGAAATTATGGAAACGCCTCAGAGAAAATCAACACGATCTATTAGGTGTCCCAGAAGGCTTATATCTGAAGACAGTGACTACGAAGAAGGACAGATCTCCAGTGAACCAGGATATGAATGTTTGTTCAGTCATTATTTTTTATTTTTTTATTTGAACAACCCTCAACTATTTGCTAATTGTAAGATTCAGCTTAATTCCAGCATTATTTACCTTTCACCATAAATAATTATTTTTGCTAAAACAAAAGTTTTTGGTATAGCAGTGCACGGTGTGCCAGAGAAGCACCCCATGGCAGTGTGAGGCACGCAAAGTGGGACTCTGCCTGCAGCTGGAGAGGAACTGCTTCAAGGTCTACCACATCAAATAAAAACATCTGAAAGTTTACAAAAATAAATGGTCTTAGAACTGCTAAAAAAGATACCAAGGTTCACAGTTTTTTAGGATTAGATGCATTACAGTTCAAAGTTTAAATTGTTCATCCCAGATTGTTTGCCCAAGTCATTTTGAAGTTCCTGTTCAGTAATAAATGTAAAAAATTTTAATGCGTTTTTTTGCTTTTTTCACTTTTAAGCTGATTTTTTTAAAGGCTTTAATAGAAATAAATTCTAAATACAAATCATGCACTAAAAGCTGAGGTTGTTCTGAAAGAAGAAGAGTTACACACACTTTGCACTTTGTATTACAATTTTACAGCCATAAGGCGCCAGTGCTCGGCAGCCTCGCCTCTGTCAGTGCGCCCCAGGGCAGCTGTGGCTACATTGTAGCTCATCCCCACCAGTGTGTGTGAATGGGTGAATGACTGATTGTGTTGTAAAGCGCCTTGGGGGGTTCCAGGACTCTAGAAGGCGCTATATCAAATACAGGCCATTTACCATTTATAAGATAAAAAAATACCAGGCGGCCCTGTTATGATTGCACAAACAGGAAGTGATTGGTAGTCATTCCACTCCAATCCAGTTGGTGGCAGTAATGCACCAAATTGTTGTTTGCCAAGTGCCATAAGACCACAAATAAGAATAAGAAGAGAGGCGGGAGCGTTCGTAACAAACTCAAAGCGATAGTCAAAACATTTAGCATGAAATTGAGTTATAGTGGCTCCAATAAGAGAAAGAAGCAGCTTGCTTTAAAAAAAACTTTTATTTTCACTTCTGAAAGTGACGTCGTTTTTCGATGTAAACATCAAAGGAAGCAGAAAAGGAAAGAAAATGGAAATTGTTTAAAGGGAGGAAAGCATGGACCAAAATGGAAAATAAATACATTTACATATCAAAGGCAAAAGCACAGGAGCCCTGACAGGAAAAACAAAGCAGAGCAAATATTGAACATGCTCAAAGGGAGGGAAATACAGGAAAAAAGAGGAGGACTAATAAAAAGGGAAAATAACTCATGTCAGAAGAGGGGAGAGTTTTGCAAATCCAATTAAAGGTAAGATTGTCAAAAATTTAATGTAAGGGGCCCCATGTCTGTGTTCGCCTTGGGCCCCCAAATTGCTAAATCCACCACTGAATGTTCTTTACTGTAAAACTGGGTTTTGTTACATCACAGCCGAAATGTCAGCAGCTAAAAATATTCAACAATGTATTTAAAAACAAAAAAGAAGTGACAGACAAGTCACAAGCTGGTGTTTCACTTCTGCTTATGACAACTTTGTAACAAACAGCTGAAGTTTGTTTCCACCACAGACAGACTCTATGATGAGATGCACATGTGTGAATGAATGCTGTTTTGTTTTTGTTTCAGGGGATGGAGATAGACTGCCAGCCTGAGGAGTCCATAAGCTCCACGTTTGATGAGGACTCTGTTGAGCTCGGTGACATCAAGGACATGAGGTTGGAGGCGGAAGCTGTGGTCAACGACGTTCTCTTCGCGGTGACTGAAATGCACGTGTCGCAAAATCTCAGCAACGCACCGGACGTGGCGTACATCAACGTGCAGACGAGAGAGGAAAATTATTACTGTCTGGAGCTCACGGAGGCCGGACTCAGGGTAGGCGGAGCTCACCATGAGGTGGGCGTGAATGGAGTTTTAAAACGTGCAAAGTGTAACTTAAAGGTCCAATCTGTAAGAATTCTACAGTGCAGCTCCCTTCCCACAGCTCCGGAGCATTTCAGACATGAAACGACAACAAACCCTGGTCCTCGAGGGCCGCTATCCTGTATGTTTTAGTTGTTTCCCTGCTCTAAAACTCCTGATTAAGTGGCTGTATCACCTGTTCACCGGCTCATCAAGCTCTGCAGAATCCTGTTAACCACCTGCTGATTAAAATCAGGTGTGTCAAAGCAGGGAAACAACTAAAACATCCAGGGCAGCGGCCCTTGAGGACCAGGATCCCTGCCTCTGGTGTAAAGCATCCAGTAAATTTCAAAATAAAGACGATTGCAGGATTCCGATTCCCTAAATATGTAAACATTACATCCTTAACTCACAAAGAAGGGCGAGGGAGTGGCTGAGGACAGACTATTGTTTTGATTCGTGGACTGCAGTACCCAAATTTGACCACAAGATGTTATTCTTACATCGTTTAATTTGAATTTCTCCTTAAACAGGTGGTGGGTTATGCTTTCGATCAAGTGGACGAGGACTTGGACACCCAGTATCACGAGACCGTCTACTCTCTTCTGGACAAGCTTAGTCCGGGCTACAGGGAAGCATTCGGGAATGCTCTGCTGCAGCGGCTGGAAATGCTGAAGCAAAACGGAAAGTGAAGAAGACCCGGACGAGTTTGGAAACCGTCCAACTGCCAGTCAGGGCGCCGCTGCCCCATCAGCCTGGCCTCGTTCTGAGTTTCATAACATCGAATAACTTCATGTTAGTTACTTAGTTTTAGGGTCTGCTTCGGATGGGCTGTTTGGGATCTGTTGCAACATTGTGCTGTTGACTTTTCTGTGGAAAAACCTTCCATTTCATACACGTTACAACTCTGTGACTGTAATCGTTTGAGAGATTTGCTTCTTTTTTGCTCATCAGAACGATGAGTTTGATGTTTGACGTTCCTCCTCCTCTTGTCAACTGCTGCTGCTCGCAGACATCAGATATCAGCTCAGATGTAGTTTATATTCAGCAGGAGTCTCTGGAAAAGACCTGAAGTTCTACTTATAAACTAAACCATGCCTTAATGACCAAGTTGTATTGTTGAAAATACTAAAATTAGTTAAACTTTTATTTTTGATGGTGGATTTGCTTTGAGGTTTGATAAAGTCTTATGAAGGGTTAGATGATGTTGCACGATAGATCGACTTGGCTGACGCTCGTCATGCTAATGCAGATGTTACCTTTTTTGACACTGCACGGTGCATTTAATCTTTAGCTTGCAGTTTAAGCTGTAAAAGTGAAAATTTGTTGTTTAGAATTAATTTTCTTCTTTTAAAATGGAATAATCATTTGGAACTATTTTAATTATTTTTTAAATTGTCGTCATAATATTTTTTTGTTGGTGTTTTGAAAAAATATTTTTAAAAATGTTACTTTTCTGCATTACTACTGCTCTGTGTTGCTGGTTTCTGCTGACAACTAATAAAAACTAAGAAGTTGCCCAGTCGTGTGGTGTGTCATATGACTTAGAGACGGGGAAAGGTTCAAAGTGGAAGTTTGTTTCTGTTGAACTCTTTTATTTTCACTTTACAGCAGGACTGGTTTTACCCCACATGTGTTTCATTTGAGCTTTGTTCATCTTAAATCTTAAACACTTAGCACTGATGCCTCTTTTCTTTTGCTGATTATCTCAAGTTTCATGTCCTCAAACTGGTTTTGCAGTGGCGTAGAAACAAATAGTTTTATGTGAGGAATCCAACCAGCGGAACAGGTCCGACGGTGTCAGAAAACTTCTGCAGAGGCTTTAAAAACATAAAAACCTGCATTTTCACAGCAATTTTCTGCCGTGCTGACATAACTTAAAAAATCGGAATTTTTTTAAAAGTCTTTGCTTTCTGTATGCTCTAAGAAATAGTTTATGAAAACAACTTTATATGCCATTTTTATGAGTTTTGAAGTCAAAAACAAACATTTTCTCATGTAAAAACATTCAATGATAAATTACATTATTGATCTTTAAACTATTTGTATAAAATAACAGTTACATTATTTCTTTAACATATTCAGAATTTAAAATTCCCCATCTTAAAGTAAATAATGCTTCCTCAAGTTTATTCAAATCAATTATAGTCTTAAGAAGCAAAATTTGGTTTTAAAGTAACTAAATTTGCTTTGGTCATTTGAGAAATATCTCTCAGACTATTCTGGTACAATTTATGAACCCATGTTTATCAGTGGTCCATGACCTGAAGCAGCCCCACACCATCACACTACCACCACCATGCTTGACTGGTGCTGTAATCTTATGCTGGGGTTTTACTGCTTCCACAAAGTTCCAGTTCACAGTTTCCCAAAATATTTGGAATCAAGAAGGGTTTTTGGTAAATGTGATTTTTTTTTCTTGAAACCCTTTTCAATCAGAGATGTGTTGCTTTTTGAGATCGTGTATCTGACTTTTTGTTGTCAAACAGGAATTTTCTTTTCTTTTAATGTCTGACTGCAATCAGGCCAAGGTGTGGCTCAACAAACTTCACTTTTCAAATAATGTGATGAATTACACTTACCTAAAGGATTATTGGGAACACCTGTTCAACTTCTCCTTAATACAATTATCTAATCAACCAATCACATGGCAGTTGCTTCCATCAATCAATTTCCCTCTGGGATTAATAAAGTATTTTTGAATTGAATTGAATTGAATTGAATGCACTTAGGGGTGTGGTCCTGATTTCCAAACTGAAGGTCAGAATGGGCAAGAATTGGTTCCAGACGAGCCGGTCTGAGTATTTCACAATCTGCTCAGTTACTGGGATTTTCACCCACACAACCATTTCTAGGGTTTACAAAGAATGGTGTGAAAAAGGAAAACATCCAGTATGCTGCAGTCCTGTGGGCGAAAATGCCTTGCTGGTGCTAGAGGTCAGAGGAGAATGGGCCGACTGATTCAAGCTGATAGAAGAGCAACTTTGACTGAAATAACCAGTCGTTACAACCGAGGAATGCAGCAAAGCATTTGTGAAGCCACAACACGCACAACCTTGAGGCGGATGGGCTACAACAGCAGAAGACCCCACCGGGTACCACTCATCCCCACTACAAATAGGAAAAAGAGGCTACAATTTGCACGAGCTCACCAAGATTGGACAGCTGAAGCCTGGAAAAATGTTGCCTGGTCTGATGAGTCTCGATTTCTGTTGAGACATTCAAATGGTAGAGTCAGAATTTGGCGTAAACACAATGAGAACATGGATCCATCATGTCTTGTTACCATTGTGCAGGCTGGTGATGGTGGTGTCATGGTGTGGGAGGCTCACTTTAGGCCCCTTAGTGCCAATTGGGCATGGTTTAAATGCCACGGTCTACCTGAGCATTGTTTCTGACCATGTCCATCCCTTCATGACCACCATGTACCCATCCTCTGATGGCTACTTCCAGCAGGATAATGCACCATGTCATAAAGCTCCAGTCATTTCAAATTGGTTTCTTGAACATGACAGAGTTCACTGTACAGCAATGATCCCCACAGTCACCAGATCTCAACTCGAGAGCATCTTTGGGATGTGGTGGAACGGGAGCTTCATGCCCTGGATGTGCATCCCACAAATCTCCATCAACTGCAGGATGCTATCCTATCAGTATGGGCCAACATGTCTTAAGGCAGTTCTGAAGGCGAAAGGGGGTCAAACACCGTATTAGTATGGTGTTCCTAATAATCCTTTAGGTGAGTGTATTTATTATTTCACCAGGGGACACAGTATTTCACACGTGACCATGCTCATTTGGATAGTTTGCCTTTGATGAATGAAATTTGAAAACTGTTTATTTGGTGTTAACATTTGTTTGCTGATCTGAAACATTTACGTGCGAAAAGAAAGCAAATGAGCATCTGCAGTTAAATATTTGAGAAAATAAAACTTTAAATCACGTCAGTTGAATACAAGTTTGATCTGTTTTATTAGAAGTTTAGTTTCATGTCTTACAGGATCAGATTCTATAAAAGATCTCCACAAAACATTAGAAAAACGTCAAGAAAAAAAATAACAGCGTAATGGTTTTACCCCGGACTACACAGCAGCCAGGAAGACGTTTACACTGTAGTGGAATGTGGGTTACAGGCATTCAGATAATCATTAACCTCATTTTCACAATCGCTACTTAAAAATGAAACAATCATTAGGCAGCAACAAAAAACTGCCCTCATATGATATACAGTCAGGAGTCTGGACATCACCCATCCCTGTAAAAACATGGCTGGATCAATAAAACCAGATCCTAGACTCATTGGCAAAACAGATGTTTTTAATCAAAGTTTGAATCCCTTTTTAAAAGAAAAACTGGAACTTTTGTTTTGGCTCAAGAAACAATCTGAACGGGGAATTTGATGCAGAAGAGGTCACTGCTGCTCGCGTCTCTCAGTTCCCACTCCACTACCACCTTTATCTGGAAAAAGAGAACAGAGACCTTCAGCACGCTGCATAACTTCACAGGTCACAGAGAAACTAAACAGAAAAAGAGGTAGATAAAAGTAGCACTGCTTTAAAAAGCACAAACAGACCAAAACTATGTTACTTAAACCCTTTTCAGGGAAAACACAAAGCCTCAATTTTTCTGTTAAATCTCTTCTTTTCCAATGACTTTACATAAAGAAGCTTCTTTTATTCCAACTGTAACATGTTTGAGCTACAGGAATGCATAATGTCATGACAGACATGGGCAGGAGAACCACTTACTGCAGGATACTCGGCCTTCACTGATAGTGTATTCAGATAATGATAAGTGTTGTCCTTCTGGATTGGACACTGGATTCCACACTTGCACCCATCGTCCTCAGGAATGGGGAAAGGAAGAGGGACGCCAGCAACAATGCCGTGAACTACAGCTGTGCTCTTGCTGGTTTCCACACCTAGAAGTTAAAATATAATAAAGCGATCAGCAAGAATATTTTAATTCACTATACCTTTGAGTGGTTTGGGAGGAAGCTGCCCAAAGAAACTAACTCACCACTGCTGAATGTCACATTGACACTGTAGGCATCTCCTTTGTGGAGCTGGCATGGCTGAGTGGGACACGGGTTAATATCAACCCCTATCACTTTACCAGAGGTAGAACCTGCAGATAAAACACAAATGTTAATGCAAGTTTTCAAAAATGTGAAAACAGATTCACTGAGATTATCAATGAAATGAACAGTCCTGTCTATAGAGATGTTTATTCTACTAATCATCAACAGGAATCACTAATGTCTCATCCCTGCTTGCAGATCTGATGTAATCATGGAACAAAGATGGGAATTTGAGGGACTCATTTCAATTGCAACAATTTAATAGGTGACTCCTTTTTATTACTTTTAATGTTAAGAGATGTTTTAATAAATTGGATTAAACTGAAACGAATTATTTCCAAATAGCCCACAAATTACAATAAAATGTCTGATTTCATATGGATTTATTCAAAAAAACTAATTAAACTCACCACAGTCGAGAAATTTGACAGGTTCCGCACAGGTGAGACCGATCAAGCAGAACAATACGATGAAACCGATCCGACTGTCCATGTTTCAGACTGAGTGTGGCACTAGGAGAAGGAAAAGTTAAGTTTTAGAAGCTTGTAAAACGTTTTGTTTGATAATTCAGGATAAATTTGCTGAAAACTAACAGATTGGTTGAAAGGTTTACCGCAACAACAGATTCTGTTCGACTCCTAGGAGCAACAATGACACAAACACGACTAACTATCGGTATAAACTGCAATAATCACATGGAAACGCTTAAATAGAAAGGTGTACCTCTTAGATTACTCTTTCCGCCTCGACAGAAACAAATAAGCTGATATTTCATCACATCACGCGATTAAAGTCACGCCTTTTCTTCTTCTACTTTTTCCGGTTTGTGGTTTGGTTTTTAGAAGGGTCTGCAAAATCACATTACTGCCATCTAGCGGATTTATCAGATATTACCAATTAATTATTTTTTTCACATGCAAAGACCACAAACAATGGAAAATTTAACATTTCTGAACACACACACTGTATGAAAATAAACATTAATCTCGTTAGATTTCACTAATTTAGTCACATTCGTCTTAAATTTTCATTGTCAGGTTCTCCATATATCAAAATGATGTACAGAAGGTTGCCGTTATAGTTTCAATTTTATGTTTTCCACAGTTTTATATCTAAGGTTTTACTTTCATAAAACATTCATATTTTGTTCGATATTTGTATTTATTTATTTCTATTTTCAAAATAAAAGCTAAAATTTCAAATTATACGTCAGGCATTTAACGCACCTTCTCGGAAATAGGGCGGTCTAACTCAAATATGTTTGATTGACACACGCTTAAACGAATCAAATTGCTACATTAGCCAAAAATAGGCGTGTCTTTTTAAAGTCAGGATTTTCAGCCAACCAGCGCGTGATTTCGGGCTGAGGAGAAAGGGGCGGATTTTTGTTTTGGAAGAGGTCCGTTGCTACAGCTGCAATGATAACTGCGTGTAGGTCAAAATTATTAGGCCTTGTGAGGTAATGTCGTTTATTTTCATCTTTTAACCTTAAATATGTTTTTATTTCAACAAACATTTATCTGTAAATGACCTGTTTTGTTATTTTTTTACCCTGACACTGGCTAGGCTAACAACAGTTAGCTGTTATGCTAAAATTGCAAGTCTTTATGTGAGCAAATCTCTGTGTTTCTCAGGACATATACTCTTCTGACCAGGCACAATGTGAGGGAACAGTTCCACCGGCTTCCTCAAAACTCCCAAGTCTGTTTTAAATCGGGTCTTCGGTGCTTTAGTACCCCCTCCGTCCAGGAGAAGTCCGGTGGTTCGAGTCTTGAGGACAAAATCCATCTCACCGAGTCATGCGTGAAGGTTAGTAGCTGCTCAAAGAGTTCTGAGAAGTTTTATTTTCGTAATCGTATTGTTGCTAACTTTGTTATAATCTTTTAAAGTAAGCATAGGCCACATTTCTCCAGATTGTCTGAAGGCATGCGCCATATTTTTGGACAAAAAATGAGTGCAAAAACGTATAAAGTGATCATAAACCTCATTAATCCTCCCCTAATTCAGCCTGAATGAATATCCATCCATCCATTTTCATCCGCTTATGTGGAGTCGGGTTGCGGGGACAGTAGCCTAAGGCGAGAGGCCCAGACTTCCCTCTCCCCAGCCACTTGGGCCAGCTCTTCCGGGGGAACCACAAGGCGTTCCCTGGCCAGGTGAGAGACGTAGTCCCTCTACCGTGTCCTGGGTCTACCATTAGGTCTCCTCTCGGTTGGACGTGCTCGGAAAACCTCATCAGGGAGGCGTCCAGGAGGCATCCTGACCAGATGCCCTAGCCACCTCAACTGGCTCCTCTCTATGTGGAGGAGCAGCGGGTCTACTCCAAGCCCCTCCCGAATGACCGAGCTTCTCACCCTATCTCTAAGGGAGAGCCCAGCCACTCTTCGGAGAAAACTAATTTCGGCCGCTTGTATCCACGATCTTGTTCTTTTGGTCACTACCCAAAGCTCATGACCATAGGTGAGGGTAGGAACTAGATCGGCCGGTAAATCGAGAGCTTTTCCTTCTGACTCGGCTCTCTCTTCACCACGACAGACCGGTACAACGCCCGCATCACTGCAGACGCAGCATCAATCCACCTATTGATCTCACACTCCAGTTTTCCCTCACTCGTGAACAAGACCTCGAGATACTTAAACTCCTCCACTTGGGGCTGGACCTCATCCCTGACCCGGAGAGGAGCTGATTCTCATCCCAGCTGCTTCACACTCGGCTGCGAACCACTTCAGCGAAAGCTGAAGATCACGTTCTGATGAAGCCAACAGGACCACATCATCTGTTTCCATTTATATAATTCATCATAAGAGGTCTTTGGGCTGCTCTTTGTCTGATCCCTCACCTAGGACCTGTTTGCCATGGGTGACCCTACCAGAGGCAGAAAGCCTCAGACAACTTAGCTCCTAGGATCATTGAGACATTCAAACCACTCCACCACGATAAGGTGGCAGCCCAGGGAGAGGGATAAATATTTATCCTATAACTGAATAATAAGGGGCCAGAATTTTTAAAGCAAGACAAAATCAGCGGTGGTTTGACAACTCTGCAAATATACACAGACATCTACTTAGTTATTGGTCAGTGGGATGAGGCAAAAATGAGGGGCTTCTCTTTGCTGAATTAACACCACATCATCTCTCATGTTCATTCAATCCAGAGATTATCAGAAATCATGGCAAAAGGTGAATACCTGAGAATCCATGTGGAGGGAGGCGGCTGCTCTGGATTCCAGTACAAGTTCTCTGTAGATAGTACCAAGAAAGATGATGACAGGTAAACTCGCCACAAATCCAGCCCTCAAAGTCTTATTTTCCCCATTATGTTCACGTGTCCTGATGTCTACCAATCTACCTTCTCTCTCTGCTTCCAGAGTGTTCGAGGAGGGAGGAGTGGGTGTTATTGTTGACCAGGAAAGTCTGGAGTTTTTGAAGGGAGCCACCGTTGACTTCACTCAGGAGCTGATCCGTTCCACCTTCCAAGTGTTGAAGAACCCTCAGGCTGATCATGGCTGCTCCTGTGGCAGCTCTTTTTCTATGAAACTATGATCCTCGTGTTATTACTTTCACCCAATCATTTATGATACATATACATACAAATAATCATCAAATATTAAGACATTTTAAGTCATTTCCATTGATAAGATGCATAAATTAAATGTTTTTATGCCTGTTAAAGAAACTAAATCAGGTCATTCAGATTTTTATCAGTTTTGGTTTCATTGCTTCCTTCAGATGTGTTTGAAAGAGGTGGTCAGATCAAAGAGCAGTCATAATTGTGAAGGTTTTACAGCACTACAGTAAAGAAATGTTAGCTTTCGTGGGAAAAATGTTTGTGTTTTTGCCAAAAGGACCTCAACTCACCATAATTCATGTAGAATTAGATATTCCAACCAAAGGTAACTTTCTGTTTTCAACCTTCACCTGAAAGCATGTTATTATGCCATAAAGTTGTATTTCAGGCAGGCATACGAGCCACTTTGTGTCAAAATAAATAACCGAATGTGACCAAAACCCAATTTTAGCTGCAGTTGGACACTTTTAAGCAAATCTTTTTCATTTCTTTGACTCCAATAGTTTTGCAGTCAACACTGGTGGAAAAACAAGTAGCTGTGAGGATTGAAGAGTTATTTATTTGTTAAATATTGTAAACTAGTCGTGTTTAAAAGGAAATGTTCACATTTGTAGGATCTGATGGCTAAAATGTAAAGCACAAGACAGTAAAACATACAAGAAGGTCCAGTTTGCCACCAAATAATTAGATGTTTACACCATAAACTAGTCACTCTGAAATCTGCTAAATATTCATCTGACTGCTTGTTGTGTGAGTGAAAATGTGTAGAATAATTAGATTTGTTCCAGCTAAATAAAAGCTCAGTTGAAGAGTTTGCATGTTTAATTTTTAGAGTTTTCTGTATTTGTAAAATATGTAAATATTTTAAAACTGCAGCATGAATGCAAAGCTGTAATTTATGTTGTTTCATCCTGAATAAAATTAATTTAGGACTCCCATCACTCAGGTTTTTAAAGCTTGTTTATTTTTTATTAAAGTGGAGTTTAAGAAACACTTCACAAAAATATACAAAAAGAATATCTACAAATGATATGTACACTGATAAAAGGTAAATCAAAATATGCAGCAACATTTGTTTAGTAGTTAGTTTTAAATACAAGGAAATAGTTTTGCACTTTTTATATTCGACTCTGATAAACATTCCTTTTGCAATATATCCGATCACACGTAACATTACTGTTGATAAAAGTCACACTGCTCATGACAACGCAACAACAGTATAGCAGCACACGAAAAAGTGGTGGAAAGAATCGCAACAGTGCATTGAGAGATCAGTGTATAGCAGTAATTATTATATATATATATATATATATATATATATTTATTTATTTATTTATTTATTTTTTTTTTTGAGGAATTAGGTTTTGGACAGATTGTCTTCCAGTAAGCCATGCACATTGCACACTCATTATCCACAAAAGATCCTATATGCAAACGTTATGAGGGGAACGCCGCCGAGGGACATCCGAGGTCAACCGGTCAATCACAACAACAACACACCACAGTAAACAAACCAGCGGGGCAACACAGTGACCAGGTCAGGTGAACAGTGCATAGTATGCTTTGGCATGCTGACATCCAGAACATAACAGTGGATGTTACATTCAGGAGGAAGGCCACAGGATTTGGAATTACCAGTAAAAATAGAACAAATGACCACAATAATCCCAAAAGAAACCAAAAAAGAACCCTCACAGACACTTGGATTAAGGCTAATTCAGTACGCTACGTGTTTGTTTTTAAATGGCATTGTCAGTAAAATCATTTATAGGCCTGACCAGTGGCAAAATGTACACAGATAAGCTCATTTTTAAAAATAACTCACCACTTAATGATATGCACACATTAGGTTTTTTATATATATAGTTATATAATGTCACAGATTCCACCTGCTTTCATAATCAGGACTGAGATGAAAATGAGTTCTGCACATATGCATGCACCAGAGTTTGAGGCAGTAAGTCGAATCGCCACTTTCGCTCATTATCAAGCTGCCATGTCTTTCCTCCTCCCAAGTTTTTTCCATTTTTTGTTCATGGAGTCGTGCCAGGAGATGCAAACGCTCCGTCTGAGGCAGGGCGGTGGTCCGTGTGGGATTCTTTAATGCGGGGTATGGACGCACCTCCACACAAAGAGGCTAGGGACGACATAAAAGGATGCATCATTTACTACAGCAGCGATTGTATTGCTGGAAACTTCATTGGTACCTTCTGTCATCTCCACCAGCGCTGACAACAAAATGATCTCCGTTTGTGAAGCGTACGTTGGTCAAATGAGCAGAATGGCCCAGGAAGCGCTTGTGTTTGGCCTGAAGACGGAGAAAAGTCACCTCATTTAGGCTGGATTCTGCTTTATTTTTATTGTCATTCTACAACAATAAGAGCCAATCTAAGAGCCGACGTATTAAACAAGCCAGGAAATTATGAAGGCATGCTAAAATATGCTTTACATGCTTTGAAAATACATTTTTTAGCATAGTTTTTCTCCGTTTTTAAAATGTATTCCATAAATCTCAGGGGAAAACAATGAATCTTCTGTGCTTGAACTCGGAGTCGGTTTCCATGGCAACTGACTATATAAACCTGTTTGCCTGAAGAGTCTCTGTCTGACTTCTCGTTGCTGCAGCGCCTGAAGCAGCTCGTGTCGAAACACGTGACTTAAGATGGGAATAAAATATGGCAATAAATCATTTTAATTTAAAGTAATAATGTTCAACTTCCCATTCAAACTTCTCATTATGTCTTCGATTGTATTTGTTCTAGCAGTGCATGCCTTAATAACATATAGGGACTAGAATGGGCTCTACCAGACAGTTAAAGGGTTAATACATTATCATCATATTATCAGACAAATCAACGCAAACGTGAAAAACAGGAAAGCTGTACTCACAAACTTCTCCGGACAGGGAAAGTCAAACAGCTTTACCATTCCAAAATCATCTCCTGTGACTATATTAAGGCCCGAATGGGACACACAGGCACAGGTGACATCGGCTTTGTCAGCGTTACGAGACCAGATCCCCACAACCTCATCCCCAAGGACACTGAGCACACAGACGGAGACATTTTCCTCACTTTTCAGCACATGATTAAAGTCCAAACATGTCAATCCAACCCTTGTGTCGCTCACCTTGTCCAGGAGGCCCAGGTGATCCTGTCAATTTGAGTCTGCTCTGTGATCTGCCTCCCAGATGGCACTTCGTACACGAGACGTTTATAAGCACCTGTGGATATCTGAGGCAGCGAGGATTAGAGGTGTAGTACCGGACGTGAACTGTGATGGCTCACTGCAGAGTCTGTACCTGGATGTGAGAGCTGTCCGCAGAAAAATCCATCTGCATGACGAAGCTGGGGATGTCCCTGCAGCAGTTGATGCGGTTGAGCTGCGGGCCGAGAGTCAGGTCGTAGAAGTCGACGGCACACTCGGTGGATCCGACGGCCAGGTAGCGAGAATTTGGACTGAATCTGCAACCAAAGTCGGTTGTTAGATGCCACACGAACCTGGCTACTTCCTAAATAATAAAGTAAAAAAGTCGTGGACACACCCCACTAAGGACCTCATCTATTACCTGATATCTTGTATAGGGGAACGCCGGTCCCTTTTCTTCCCCCAGATTTTGAGCGAGGTGACCATCAGTATGATGAACTCTCCGTTCTTCATGCCGATGGCCACCATGTCTCCTTCAGGGCTGTAGTTGATGGTGTGTGCTGGGTGGCCCAGGTTCACCTTATTCAGCATCTTCTGTTGTCGCCACAAGGCACAATAACACCCTCAGTAATGAACATTTTGTTAAATAAATGACAGAAATGAGACAACTCGAGATGTTGACCTTTTCTGGGATGTCCCACAGGCGGACAGTGCCGTCCTCTGCAGCAGAAAGAAAAACATCCCTGGAGGGATGAGTCCCCAGACCCCATATAGGACCATCCATGTGACCGTTCACTAAGATGTTGCACGCTGCGTTTTTCTCTCCCACTTCTATGATCTCTGCATTCCTGGTTCCCACGAGGATTTTACCCTTTGCAACACAGAAACAAGAATATATCCGAATTTGGATGATAAAATCAGAAAGTTTTGTTTCATTCTGCAGGAAGTTACCTTCCCTCTGCACACGGAGCGGACACAGTCGATGATCTGTCCTGTTTCTAATCGAAAGGCTCTGCAGCGTTTCAGCTCCTGGTCCCAGAGCTTCAGAGCTCCTCCTTCCTTTGACCTGTGGAGAAAACAGCAGCTGATTGGCTGATCCAAATTAACAGGCAGAATTTGCAGATTTAACAGAGATGAACTCACGGTCTTTCTTTGCCCCCCGTGACGATGAGTCCGTCTCTCAGTGTGGTGTACATAGTAAACACGGGGCCAGTGTGAGCTTTGGCCACTATTCTTACCAGAATGTGTTCCTTCCACACACACACATCCCCACTTATGGTACCTGTAAATGTCAAGTTATTCTGAAAAGAAAACAAATCTGCACTAATCTAGTGGCCTAAGAGAGCAGAGCGAGCATTGCACAAACAGTTCACAGCACATAAGCAGACTGTAAGGCTTTACATCCCAGAGAATTGAACACAAAAATGGGAAAATGTGACATGAAGGTTTATTCGTTTCATAAAAGGTTAAAGCAAAGTTAGTGGTTGGGTAAACTTACAGCTCCAAATGCTACAGACAGCATGGTCTGCATGCGTGCATCCTCCAGGGAGCTCAGCACGCCTTTCTTGCTGAGCAGCGCCCGACCCGCTAACGTCCAGAAACGCACGTGTTTGATGCCCACAGACACAAAGTGTGTGTCTGAGTCGGGACGAAACTCTGCCACAAAGATTCTCTGGGTGTGACCTATCCGGCTGGCCACTTTGGCACCTGAAAACGGCCCCAAAAATAATAAAAACATAGGAATATGAAAAACGAATGAAAAAACAAGGATCTTATTTTGATTACCTTCCTGCCACTTCCAGATGGTGATGGTGTGTTCTGGGTCTAGGCCCACAGACAGCAGGAGTCTTCCTGTGGCGCTGAAACTCACAGAACAAACCCCGCCGGCGTGGAAACAACGCAGCACTGACAGCGTCTGCTTGGACATGGCGTCCCACACATGGATGGAAGGAGATGTGGCTGCAGGATAAAGGCCACAAGCAGACAATTTCTTCAAAATGACAAATTCCCTTCTATTTTAAATCTAAATAAGTTTGTATGTAGATTCACTGTAGGACAAAAACTGGCCAACAGGTGGCAGCAAAGAAACACAACACCACTTTATGTGGGTGGATAAAAACGTCTTACCTGACATGTCACCAGTATCACCTGCAAAGCGCAAATAGTCTGATCAATATGTAAAAACAACAGATAAACCGTATATATTTTGGTTATTTAGATGCATTCTGGCAGAAATTAGCTCATTATGTAGAACACACAACACCCAAGAGGTTAAACTTCTCACAAACATACCTACTTGGCCTGTTGCCACCACGTTAGGGAATTTAGGGTGTTGATTGATTGTCAGGCACAAAATGTCATCACTGTGTTCAATGTAGAAACTTTGGCAGGCTGCGAAAGCACAAACAGAATCAGAAAGACCATCTTTCCAGTTATTCAGCAACATCCCGCCATTATTACTGCGTTAAAGTCTTATTACAGGTTGTCAAGTTGAGGACGATGCCGACTGAAGCTGTGTGGTAGATGACATCCGCCCCTTCATTCAGGTAGTGTACATTGTTGCGGCAGTCATTGCCACGGTAACCAAACACCAGCTCCAGCACCAGGTCCTGTGGGAGATTTAGAAGGAGACGATGTGAGAGTCAGAAAGGTTAACTCCATGACAACGAAGATGCCTCGAGTCAGATGAGCATCATTATTCAATTGCAGCATCATCGTGGCTATCAGCTCTGCTCAGAAAGTCTTCTGCCTTCGTAAAATTCCTGGAACATAGTTAAATTCTGAGAATAAGTTA